CTGTCACCATACTTTCAAATATGATAGACAAATAATCCAAGGTAGATATTTGTTGCTATGAATAGTCTATGGTAAACTATACAGCAATGAGAGTAATTGTCAATAAACTGTTAGCTTCTAACAATTTATTTTTTAACCTTTTTCTTTTTATATAATGTAATCTATAGTGGCCGTGAATAGTAACATGAAAATACTGCTAGATTGTAAATTTACATTAACCTACTTTATTCCTTCAATATTACTTAATATCTAAGAAAAGTTATTGATGAAGCAATACAGTGTATTATACATCGCTATTTTGTCTTGATATACAGGTAAGTAAAACGATGACTACGTATCAAAGTAGCGAAATATTTTTAGCATGATCACACTATAAAATAATGAAGATATTTCATGTACGTACGTATTGAAGACAAATATCAGTTCTATTTGGATTTTATTTAATTAATGATACACAGCAAATGAAATAGAAATCTTTAAGAATATAAAGTTTGCATTGGTCGATTTATTAACTGATGAATGAATAAATTAATTTTACAGATCTGCAATTCAGGAACGGCAATGACTGCCTGCTTTAAATGTAGTGGTCAACATCTTGAAGTCTTTTGTTCTTATTACTCAGCGATAGTAAAGATCAGAGTAATTACTTAACTACATTTTTACTTAGGAAAGAATAAAGAATTAGTGTTCTAATTAATCAGAATTTAGCATAATTAAAATAAAACAAGATGACTATTTTGCACACTGAAAATTCGTAGAGATAAAATAGAGAAATCTTTGTCTAACATGGTTACATACTATTGGTGAACCTCTACCTATACGATGAAAAACAGAAACACTTTATCTTTTACTTAATGGGACGAGAGAATAAGTAATTAATTTCTAAACTTAACACAACTACGTTAGCTAAGAAATAATCGTTAGTTTGTGAGATCAAGTCCAAAATTAAATTAAGAACATTGATTCTTTTTAAACAATTAATTATGTTTAAAATGTACCAAGGGAATATAGAAGGGGAACGATAAATTCAAGATGGTAATATAAGGAAACCTAATCAAAAATATCTATTATGATTGGATTTACTGCGATTTAAACTAGTTTCATAACAACGGTACTATATGAATACATAGCGAAGGAATTCACTTGCATAATGATTGATATTAATACTTAATAGATATCACTTATGATCGCATATGCTGTATAGCATTGAGGTGAGTGATCTTTCTTTTCTATAGACTGACAAAGAAAGTAAATACGGCGGACATTTTAAAAGAGTAATATGGCACAATTACAATAAAATAAGGAAATCAGTGTCACGGTACGAACCACCGTGAAGAGTAAATGACCAAATTTAGTGGTAAACATTTATATATGGAGATAAGTAATGACTTACAGTAAGAACTACGATAGTTATTTTGTTACGGTAAATTATACTGTACTACTAATAATTCTGCGTATGAATAAACTGTAATCTAATTATCTAAAATCGTTCAGTACATGTCTAAGATTATGAATAATTTCTGTATTAATTTAGCTATCCAATATAAACTAAATTTCATGAATTGTTATGACTCATACATGATAGCTGCTGCCGAAGGGTGTCTAAGCTCGGTAGATAATTGAATAAAAGAAGGGTTCTATAATTATTTAACGTAGAAGCAAAGGCGTCTGAATTCTTGTGGGATAGTTAAGGGATACTGAATCCCCGAGACTATAGTAATTTAGAGATTTGTTTTACGTTATCTTTATCACGAAGCTGGTTTGTGACAGTCAGATTCACAAACATCAGATAAATTGAATGAATGATCGATTCTGAATGGCTGTACGTTTGTTTACATAAAATAGTCTATAACATCTCAAGAACATACGCATAAACAACAAAGTATAAAATATACAGAAAACAATTCACATTGATTGTAATAGCTTATACTCTTTCATTTTATGAGAAAATACAGGTCGTAAATGAATTTATTTTATAAGGGCGGTAAAGTAATCGTTAATGATATGGTATTTTGACTTCTTTCGTGTCAAATATCTTTCGTCTTGACATGCATTAATTGAAAAACCCTTCGAGCTTAATATCAAATAATACAAGCAGAAACACTGTATTCTACTATAGTTCATTTGATGATGATGCATCTACAATGATTCCTACCTTCAGAAATCTACGCATTTGTCTTAAATGTAGCAGAGAGACTTTAGACTGTCTGAAGATATATTAAAGAGAGATCTCTAGCGAATTTCTTAAAACTAAAACATCATACGTTAAAAATGTAAAAATGAGTATACTTTGTAGTTTATCATACCTTATATTACAAACAACGTTGTGAGTATGATGATTGCTTCCAAGAATGAAGATTGTAGGCTAGTTTTACATAGTTATATATTCCTTAGGTAGCCTTATTTTACAAAAAGCTAGTACGTACAGTAGTAATAGCTAATGGAAATCAAGAGATTGAAATTACAGCACTGTTTATAATGAGGTCCATTTATTTTAAGCATTTTAATATAGATTTCTCTTATTTTAAAAATTATTGTAACAAATTCTATCATAGGTTGAACAGCAATTAACGGTAATTTCTCAATCACAAACGAATTTTATAATATAGATACAGTCAATAGACGGATAATTTATAGCAAGATATCGGTCTATTCTTATCTACCTTTTTTATTACTAATTACTGTAAAATAATTATCAAGCAGTGCTTGTACTTCAGCTTACTAAAAATTACCGTTATAGGCAAGAACTATAGTAAGAAAAATAATAAAAATAGTTACAATATTTTTGGAAACTGAATATTGATATATAAGAATAAATACAGATATTACATCAGCTTTTGCTATCATGCTCAATAGTTAACAATCTATTGCTTATTAAAGTGGTAATTCGTCTTTTAAATGTGGTATATATTCAAAATTTATAACCATGATGAGGTATTAGAGAAATAGAAGTGGAACATAGCTTAGAGTACTAGAGAATCATTTATATGTTTAATGATTTCAAATCATATCTACAAAAAATTAATTTAATTTGGTTTCATATTTAAAGATGAACTACCTGTATTTGTATTTCTAAGATTAATTGTCAAATTTCAGATGGTTATCGGCAAATAAGGTAGGAACTTAAACCAAAATGAAAATATTGATACAGAAACTAGAGTATTGTATCGAGAAATAACATTTACTCGTTATCGGTTAAATTTTTGCAGATCTTAAAAGTTGCTCATATAGATCATCGCCTCAGAATATGAAATCCAGTTCTTTATTATAGCGATTTACACTATTATAGTTTATAAATTCATGTCGATCAAGTGCTTGCATAAACAATGTAAGTAGAGTATTGTACAATGTCCTATGAGACTATAAAGATATCATTTAATGCACGATGTTCTAGCACTTTACTCGTAGGCTAATGCTATCAATTAAAATATGTAAATTTATAAAGCAATTCCATTGATGATAATTATCGTTCGTATTCAAATCTGGATATTTAGATATTATTAATCTGATGTACGACTGTTCCGTACAATAATTGATAATTTATCCACATTTTAGTTGGGTGTTCGAATTACAAAACAATGGCTGCAATAACCATGCTGACATAATACCCTCAGAGGTTATAGTCATTTTCTCGTTTAGACGCACTAGTTTTCGACTCACAAAGAATCTGTGCTATTTGGCACTAGAAGCGAGATTTAAAGGTATAGTGTGTAGTAACTATAGCACAGTTGCTCTAAAAATTCACATTTTCATGCATTGAGTATTTTTAAAAATTCAAATTCATTGTTAAAGATGAACGCTAACAGTAATACAGATATGAGTTAGCCATGTTTTTGATAAATTTTTCGAATGCAAGGCAAAAAAGTGAAATACAACATTTTTGCATATTAATAATTGTGTTACAAATTGTTTTTTTTAAATCAATCAAATAGAATAAACACAACATCGCATTGAATATAGTTGCAACGGAAAATAAAGAGCATGTGTATAATAGATGATCACATCTCAAAAGCCAACATATTTAATAGTGGTATATATAATTAATATTTTAATGATACAGTAATACAGTTCTACAAAATCAAAATAGTCTACAATATGTATTAATCAACAATCCAATATCATTCAACATGTCGCAAGAGCAATGAACTACGATAAATAATTCAACATGAATCCTTTCTTTTTCTAAGATTTTATATAAAACTGAACGATAATTATAATTTATGATAGTCGTGTATACAAAGACATGCATAGCTATTTTAGTTATGATTTCGTTATAATTTATAAATCATAAAACATTAATATCAAGAGATTACTTTTTTAATTATGAATGATAAGCGCCAAATGTCTTCCAACAAAAAAGCAATTACAGCATTCAATGGCTGCGTAGTAAACGCGAAATTATTTTCATCGTGGCGTTGGCTTCTACAAATACATGTAGATTATTATAGGAGGCATTAGGTATCAATGATATAAAATCGGCGTTATGGACCTCCACAGGGTTGACACGCTTTGTTTGCGCAACATCTAGATCTATCCATACCATATCTTCATAGTCAAACGATGCAACAATCAACTTTATAACGTCAAAACGATCTTAATAGTTTCAAAGGTGAACATCGAATTCTAATGAAACACGTTATATTACCTCAGTCGATAAGTTATCTGTAAGCGATGCAAGAAAGCAAAGTATTTTACAGATACTCTCAAATACTGCTAAAAGCACAAAATCTATCCGTAATTTTCTCAGAATGGGATATATTTTTCGTTAAGAAAATTTCATAAAAAGTTGGATCTAGCAGTCAACAATAGTAATAACGGATTTAATATTTTACGCCAAATAGGTGATAAAATAATGAAAATAGATTATGCCACAGATATAAACTCGTCGGTAAACAGTATATATTTTAAATGTACATTTGTAGTAGATAGCGCTATCTTGATAAAAAGAGTCCATGAAATTTTAATATTTTGTGTGAACATTACGCATCATGAAGCACCGATTATTCATAATCATGAGTAGCTGGAAAAACTGCTACGTGATCCATGCTTCCAGTGTAAGATGAAGATATTAATGTAGTGGGAGGAGAATCGCGAATATCCTCCGGGCTTACAATTACTTGATCTAGATTTGTCGATGGATTTCCGTTGATTATTACATCTTCCATTGCATTGGCGATATTATACTGAATGAATTCTTGTACGTTCTCGGTTGTTACATTTGGGCTTCCAAAAGTGATTGAAGAAGTAGTATATCCTTCAGCAGGTTTCAGGCCTAACTCATAACTATTTGGCCCGTTATCAATTAGTATATGTTGTCCACTTCCACTACTTGTACTATCACATGAGCCTGCAGAAGATGAAAAGCTACTCCTGTGAATAGTAGAACGATTACGGTTGGTAGGCGTCGGTAAAGGTTTTGATCTGGCGATTGGTGTTAGGCGAATATGTTTTAAATTGCATTCGTCAAGGTAAGCAGGTTGAAAAGGATAACTCAAACCATCCGGTACAATAGTGGCCGCATTATTTTTACTGCCGTTAGTTTTATCAGAAGAGTCGTATGTATACGTTTTATAACGAAACTGTGGTCCCATCCAAAGTCGTCGATGAGGCGAACTATGAGTAGTAATTTCAACCTCAGATAGCCATTCTCCATCCATTACTTTATTTTCCGCAGAATAAGATATTCGCGACGATTTTAGCACATTAAAAGTGGCATGATCTATCGATTATGGCATTAATTATTGAAAGAATTCTACTAATAAAGTCTATGGAATTAGAAATCAAGCAACTACGTGCACAAAAAACAAGATTTACCTGATGATAATTTTAAGGATTTTTCACTAGCGAGCAATAAAGGATTTGAAGCATGTAGTGGTAATCCAAATCCTTTGGATGGGCTAATTCTTAAATAAAAATTACTTCATTACGAGATTCGGATATCGGAGATGTTCAATTTATTAGCGTATTCCTCTGTTTAAATATACATACCTTTTAAGGTGCCATTCAATTCTTGGCTGAGCAATCAATTCAATAACGGTTTCATCACTTGCTTGGGTAACATTTTTTGGGCGAACTTCTAATGTATATTCTACCAGCTTACCTTGATCATGCACAACGTATAAGGACATGGTTTCTTGCTGAGCCTCGTCTAGAATATAAAAGAATGCTTAACCAATCAAAATTTTCGAAGAGGATACTATCTGATAATACTTACTCATTTTGTATGAATTAATCCACTTATGACGAGGATAGGAGAATTGAGAAGCTACACAATCTAAGGAGCCAGACGGACTATTATTTCTTGATGACGCGAAATGTACTTTAGGGCTCCCAGAGATCGATTCCATTATAGAAGGAAATAGTAACTGTTTGATTCTAGCATGTGCTAATACTACAATCGGAAGTGAAACCATCAACAGACGATTCGAGCAAATGCATAACGGCTTATTGATACCTAAAGGAACAATTAAAACCATATTAAACCGTTCGTACGAGCTAATTTTAGATCAGTATAATATCCTTCGCTACCTTTCAATGACTCATCCTCTTCAAAATGGAAATCTGACTCTGGAACAGGTTTGGGTAAATGGCTTATTGGCAGTATATCCTCAAGTCCTGCACTAGTATGAAAGCGACTATTTCTGTCGACAACACGGAGATGCCCATGTGTTCTCCAATTAATAATACCTACAGTTACGAAATTATTTAAGGGAATACCAGTGAAGTTGATACTATAATGGATACACTTAAAAATCGATAGTAAAGATGCATCATGTAGAGAAAAGTATTACCAATTAGGATTATTGAATTGACTTAAATTTACCTCCATTTGGTGAAATAGGGAAGATATGCGTTGTCCCATGAGCGGTACTAACTGAAATCCAGCGACTATCGTAAGAGAAACTAATATCTTTAACCTAAGTTGATAGAAAAGATAAATAAAATGTATCTGCAGTATATAAGGATGGCTGTTGGAAATGAAGCACATAATAGCAGTAGTTGCAGATTCCGTAACAGAATGATACCGTTGCAAGCGTATCGCCTCGATAAAGAGTATACAAATGATGGACAGAACATAAAGACGATGATAGTGTATGTGGTGCAATTCGAAAAACATGAATTTTCTGTCCTAATTCGGCAGCAGTTAACAGTAACAGTCCACTAGAATATCGGATAAACCAGATCGAATAAACAAATAGTACAGGTTACTTGTTAACCATTTAACTTACATATTAGCTTTATTTGATTTTTGAGTAAGATTTACCTGGGATCAAAAGTCAGATATTCTATGGCCTCGTTTACATGCGCTTGGAAGTGAGCTATGATACTTTTCCCGTTTGAATTTTTTGAAATATCGAACTCGTTCTAATAAAACAAGAAATGCCATGAAACTTATCTGATTTTCTTCTTTTGAGTTAACTAATATTATTTCGATTCCAAGAGGGAGATATTATTGGTATCTCTCTAATTGAAAAGCGAACCTGCGACAGCTGTAGCGATTTAATATCGATAACGGTTACCATACCAGGAATGCAGTAGTCATCTAATAAATTCTAAAGGATAGTCTTAATTAATTTGTAAAACAAATTTTACTGATCAAGGTATTCAATATTTGAAGGAACCTGTGATGAACTTCCTTTGGAATTATGTGTTTCAGTAACAGTTTTAGAACTTGTAAAACGGCTTACCGTTTCACCTATCAAGAACAATCTCAGTGATATCAATTTCATATTAAAACTTTAAAAGCGATCTTTGTTTTTCTCTTGATGCTTACTGATTTTTGATAGACCTTGGCCAATAACCTACATTTTATAGAAACATCATTGATGAGTTGTCCTGCCAAAAAACTTAGTTAGGGTTAATATAATTGATTAGGAACCTTTGCAGCATTTAGTACTGTTGTTGTATACGAATTCGAGTCTCCACCCACTACACCACCGAAGGATTGGTACTTTCTAAAGAGCTAAATAAATATAAGACAAAAATTAAATTTAGAGACTAGGAGGTTCTAAGTTAGTTTAGATTACAAATCTTACTCCTCGATCAGCATAAGCCAACCATCTACTACCACTTAGTGATACTGGAATGCTACATATCGTATCACACGAATAACATCCTAGCAAGGGAAGAAAGCAGTTATTTATAGTCGAGTTAATCATGAATTCAATTTATTAAAAATATGGGCGCCGCTGCCTATCAAAATGAGTTACCAGTAATAGTAAAGGAACGCTCGAAGTCTGTTGCTTCATAAGTAATGATTTTGTCTGCCAAGCAGACTACTAAGAGCCTGAATTGAAAAATATAAAATATAAGCTTCCTTACTGTTTTTCTTGAAAATTTATAATAAAAAAATCAATAGATATCGCATGATAAACATACAGTATCGAAAGCATCAGTATATCTACCTGTCATTAGCTACAATATTATAAATTTCTGAGTCATGTAGTATGGTGCTAACGCGTTCGCCGGTTTTCAATGAGTAAATAGCCACAGCAGTGTATGGAGTACGTACACTATCCATAATATGAATTCGAATAAGCACCAAATCATGATCATAAAGCTCGCTTACTGTTATAAATTCCTATTAGCGTAATTAAATTCATACCTATCTTCGTCACAAATTGCAATAAGCGGTCTCTTATTTATAAATTTATCTTTGACAAGTAATTCTAAAACACATTTTGAAATGCAGCAATAAATTTGCATTAAGTTCTACATTAACTCGGAAATTTGAATAACATGAAGTAAATTCTAACCACAATTGATACCTAAAGCGGGTGATTTTAGTAATTTAGCCGAACGCACGGATCCTTTCTTTACGGATAGTAATTCCAGTGCCTCGTTGTTAGGCTATAAATAAATAGGACACCTTAAATATATCTACAATATATGTCGGCTATTCTCCACATAAGCAAGTTGTACAGAGCGGGGATATCTAATCTTTATACTGAAGCATTTATTATAATTTGTGTATAATTTATGTACATAGTAAATATTATAATTCCTTTATACTAAAACAGGAAGGGGAACGCAACAGTACTTTAATGGTCCAAATATGAAATCCATTTTGGTAAGCGATACAAAGCAACATAGGAAGATTAACTCTGGATTCATCTGATGTCCGGATTTCGTCATATATAAGTCGATCTGCATCATGTAGATTAGAAAATTTATCACTGATGAAGTGAGGACATGATTACATAGGTTATTGTTCTTTATACTCTGCAGTGAAGCATTTAAGGTATCCTTGCTTTTATAGAAAACACTTAATCAACTAACTAAGCAGCCGATTACAAGATAGCATTTTAACACATAATGATGTCATATAACGCGTTATTATCTATGAAACTGACTAGCATAAAGATTTTGCTAACTACACAATAAATTGAACTTTTGAAATCTACAATTACGTACCATTTAAGTCTGCTTCTTCGAATTTTACCCATAGGATTTTTTCAGTTTCTCTATTTTCTACTGAACCGACAGCCTATGAAAGAAAAATGACCCAGGTAAATCTCACTACATGTCGTCTAATAATTAATCATGATACAAATAAAAAGGCCAAAAGACAATTACTATGAAGTAATAATTAAGTTATTATGATATCATCAATAAATACGTAAGTTTTTATCTCAAATCGCAGTTAAATCACTGAGAAACCGTAATCTGATGACAGGTTATATGTATTTGAGTAATACCCGGCAATACTAACGTCACAATGAAATTGTTTATAATAATTTCCAGTGTGTGATAAATATCTCGTTTCTTTAAAACTGACAATTAGGTATTAGGTTGCTCTTTCAATTTTGTATTAGAAAAGTTAAAACACAAAAAATGTAAGATTTTTTCTACAATTCGTCGGTATTACATTCTACTGTTCATTCGAGTTTATACGAGTTCGTATATCCAACCATCCGGAACATTTTCAGTGTATGCAGCAAACTTAAAATATCGTGTGTAACTACATTATTCTCTAACTACCTAGCCATCCTTGATCATTAATATATATTTAGTATACTGTCTGTTCAGACAGCATACGGTAAATTTTCGATAGGCATGCACATTTACCGGGCTTAATTATCATCTTTTAACCTGCATGTAATTATTATGCATAAAACAATGTCGTATTAAAATTTTAAACATTACAAATCGATCAAATAATTGTTGGTAATGCACTACAGCGCGCTGTATATAATGACACATATATATATATATATACTGTATTGAAAGGACACTTTACTGTATGGTTTATCATACCGTTTTCTACAAGATTTGAACACCTTTAATTTAAAGGTGTTTAAGATAGTTATGCGACGTTAATATTGCATACAACATATACTTTACCAATTCACATCATCATGAATAGATTAATACTTCGAAATCAGCTATTCACGAATTTGACCTGATAGCGATACATGGATGTTGTTTTAAAGACAGTTGCGCATTTTATTGTAGATAGAAAGAAACGTCCACAGTATGAAGTGTTTGTACAATTTATGCAACATTTTATGTAACATCATTTCTGATAAATGCTAAACTGACTGCAGACTGACTAAAGTGTTAATTACGATAGATTAGTTAATTGCGTCCGTCAGCGATATAATTGCTACCATTGCATAATATGATACCGTATAATGCCGTGCTCTATACGAATAATAAAAGCGAATACACCACCGCTGTTCACAGTTAAACAATTTGCAAGCTCCCCTTCGCATAGACAAGTACTCAGTACAGAAACTGATAAATTATCAATAATTATTCACTGTCACTTATTAGCTCCGAGAAGTCACTGTCCGTATAATTTGTGATTACGACTTTATTACAGACATTGTGTTATTATGCGTAGTAACATTTCCTATCATTGTTCGAATATTACATCTATCAGGAATCTAATGTTTATCAATGATAGCTTGTTTATCTTTTAGACTATCATGGACTACTCGAGGTTATTATTTTTATTAGAACATATTACAGTACTAGCATCATATTTACTCGACAAACTACAGTGTATTACTGTATTATGTACGAATATTATAGGTGAAATACTCTACTATCAGTCCAAGCACGAAGCATCAAGGACATTGCACTGTCACGGTACATGAAATAACCAAAACATTTTGTCTGACTTTCCAGTCCACCCACGGTTCGTAGTCCATTCTGTATGCAGCAAACCTATCGTACTGCAGTAATGGTCTTTCTGATTTTTCCCGCAATCAAGCGGGTCGGGTTTATGCCGAAGTTACCGAACGGCGCTATACTGTAGTAGGACTGTAGGAGTACAATATAATATCATACAGTTTACCGTTCTACGTATGATACGATGCTGTATGAATGGATCTATAACTATATTACTATTATTTGTTTACAGTTTGTATAAAAACTTTTAGACGACTTTTGAGAATGTTGCTCACAGCTACCGTCCACGGTAGGATTGCCAGGGTGGATAGGAAAATCGTCTGATCATATATTTGGCACATACAGTACAGGACTAAGACAAGGATCTGTCTTACCATGTTGCACAATAGTGTCGTATTTACGAACATGACATGAGCTACGATTAGTCTACTGTACTGTACGTGTACAGTAGTCGAGCTAAATTAGCAATAATATCGTGACAATAGCACAAGCTTGCTTTCAGGAAGATAAGTTCGACAATATTAGTTGCCCTTGTTTATAGCAGTTATACTTATATTAGTTCAATAGCTAAACAAGACTATTTATTGCCCGGTACTGTACGTAAATAAGTAATAATTATAATAGAGACTGATGAAAATGAGCTAGCTAATGAATTGTTTCGAAGTTAGAAATGGTCGCATTGTGATTATTCTACATTGCAATCGGGTCCTATTAGAAGAGCATAAAATAATGTTCGTATCGATCATTTAAGACTGTTATAGAGCTACTAGCCTCGTTAACTTATCTTTCACGCTAAAATTTTAATGCAATATTTTACTATAAATAGTTGGTATTGCTAAGAATACACTTGGATTACATTTGTTAAGCTGCTGGTGCAGTGATACGCAAAATATTTCAGCTGAAGAAATATCATAGGTTCATAAAACAAATAATCAGATCAATCTTCAGATCTTTTTACGCAGGTAGTTCAAAATTAGTTTGACTACTGGTTCTATACTCTAGTAACGCACCGCTATAACAAATTCGATATAAAGTCATGCCATTATGTAAGTCAGCTTTTCATAATTAAGTTAACTTCAGCTTTAAGCCATAAAATCAATATGATAATTATAATATAATCATATAGATATTACATGCATAAAATACAAGCATTGATAAGACTAAAGTTAATGAAATATAACAAACATATGATTTAGAGATATTAGAGCTCATCAAAGTTGTAATTAGGATTGACTTACTTGAGGTACAACATCATGGAAGAAGTCTACAGCGCTCTCAACGTAAGATTTATCACTGCATAAGAAAAATTTTAAATATTGAAAAATGAAGCGTATAAATTTTCTGCCAGTAAGATTTGAGTTAGCATTGTTAACTATCCTGTTAGAAAGAGGCTACACTAAACCGATATCTAGGATAAGTATTGAATAATTATTTTATTTTCGAGGGTATATATATAGGGCATTGAATACATAATACCAATTGTATGCGTACATCGTACATTACGTGCACCTTATACCGCCAACACCAACTAATTGGTGAAGGTAGTTCCCTAGTAAAACATAAGCTGCCGTAAATTGAGGGATGACTAACTTTACGTTGACGATACATAGTTTCAATGATTCAGCCTTACACTGGTAAGGTACAGTATAAAATGCATTTAGTAAACTTGTATGGTCACTATGTACTAATTTTTATAAAATGTCAATAGTAAATCTATAAATTGTTGTCAAATACAGTACAGTATACAGTAGCACAAATTTGAGAGATAATGTAATACTTGATGCGTATAAATTTTAAACATTTTAATAATAGAATCCACTATATTATACTGTTCTCCTGATGTATTTGTTGTATTATTTACTGTATTCAGTAAATTTTTAGTCTGTTGTACAGAAATGTAGATGTAGCGGAGCTATGAATAACTACACGACTTGGTCATTTTACAAACGAAGATTGTTATTGTTTTGTAACTTTTAGTAGTGCAACCCAAAATGCAAAAGTAGCTGCAGTCACATACGTATTATCCTGTTAGGATTCTATCACATAGGTGGTTTCAAACGTTAACTGTTATCGAAGGTGATTCATCTTTTCTTACCTAACGAATTGTGGTTTTACGGTTATATTGGAGGAGTGAATATCATCCCATAAGTCGCTAGCCATCTGTTTTATTACTAAGAAAATAATTTTTATTTCAAGGTTAACGAAATACTTATTCTCGTAGACTTGTAATAGTGACTGGTATTACAGTGTACGTCGTGTGTGTTATATAGTGTATATCAATTAGCTTCGTTGTTGTTGATTTCGGATCTTTATTTTGATTCAACGATACGGCACTGTACTTTTCACTGTAAGATACAGTACAGTATTGTACGTATTGTACTGTACTGTGCTACAGTATATGCCTCAAGTGAGTATAAAAAAATGCACTGCACTAAGGCTTTCTTAATCTGATCCAAGTTTTTAATGCGTACGAAAAATTTATGCTGGAGTGATTTCGACTGTACACTGTACAGTACAGTACTGTACACTTGTACAGTAGTTTGGTTTATCCAGCGTATCCAGTGGACTACAGTACTGTAGGTTGAGAGATCACCTCTGTGAGCACTAGTAGCGTTTTTTACCTCTATGAATTAACCATAGCGATAAATAAATAAAAAAAAAGACCTACAGTACTGTATAGTACAGTACAGTACAGTACTGTATTTGCACTACAGTATATAGTACTGTACCGTACAGTACTGTAACTGCACGTACTGTACACTCTACAGGTTCACCTGATCACGGTCTGGTCAAGGGGACTTCTAGTTTGGTTTAGTGTACTGTACAGTGTACAGTACACTAGTAGGTGTGAAACCTGTTCACGATTTCAATACCAAAAACCAAACCAACACAGATGATAGTGTACATCAAAATTTTAAAAAAATTTTAAGAATAGAATTAGATCGTAATAATCTATCAAGTGGCATCTATCCATCATTCGAGATACAGAGATTTTAAGATTTTAAGTGACTTTGTGAGAAGTCAGATACAGTTGTGAAAAGCATTAGCTACTATATTGTACAGTGTACAGTACACGATACTACACTTTACTGAACACCAATTGACGGATCTTGACGCGCAATGTGTATCATTTTTTTTCAATTCAATCCATCACCAAATGAAACTCCATATCAGCTTATTCTAGCAGCAAATCGAGATGAGTTTCTTAATCGACCTTCTAGACCTGCGCAACCGTTAGAAGGACATCCAAATGTAATTTGTGGTAGGTATCTCAGCTAACTGCAAATGAGCTCGAGTCTGTGCAATGCACAGTATGATGTGCAGTAGTATTTAGTATTTACTATGTAGCGGCATGATGTATAACATACACGTTGATCCGTAGGTCTCGATTTGGAACCAACCAACCCAGGCGGTACATGGATTGGTGTCTCAAAAAATGGACGGATTGCTGCTATAACGAATACATCACGGGCTACTCACGATCCTAAACTGCAAAGCCGAGGTAAGCAATACAGTAACACGCGTATATATATATACGTATTAAAACTATCAGCACTTTTATTATGTAGCTTTTGCCTACATTAATTAATTAATATGGTATAAAAAAATGACTGCGCTAGGGGAACTAGTTATGAAGTTTTTAACAAGTGAAGTATCACCTAAAGCTTACTTGGAAGAAATCGCTCAAGTTGGTCATAAATATAATGGCTTTTTCTTAATTACTATTGCTTTAAGGTAATGGTTAAGGATTCTGTATAACCTAATAACGATTGTGCTTATCCTATTTTACAGTAACTTCAAATCGTTTCCCTACCTTGTATAAGAACCTACAATCTATAACAAGTCTCTAAAATTAATTCTTGATTTTCGTATACGTTCGTATATTAATGCCTTAAATTCTTCATAATTTGACAATTAATTTCTCGATAAAGTATTCGTGTACTGTAATGTATATGCGATGGTATCAGTGTCCCATTGAATAGTAATGCATCTAGTTTAATTTACCTGAAATCATCTTCTCGTTTCGACATGCTTGTATCGCTACTCTACTCATCCATGCTCAAATTGCCGATGCTGTAAAGACAAGATAAGATCGATGGATACATATTCTGCAATAAAGATGACGAAGGAATTCGACATATATCTGAAGGTTAGTGCAGTGTTGTATAATGCGATTTCATGTGTTACTTAGGTGAAAAGTTTGGTCCTCCGCCTATGAAATTTCTTACTTTCTGATTTAATTGATCATTATACTCTTTCATTAATATGCTAAAAAATTGATTATAACCCAACCAGAAATAATTTTATTACCATTTTAGGTCTACATGGGTTATCCAATTTTGCATTTAATTCTAATCAAACGAAAATTGTATATGGTAAAGAATTGATAGCTGATGCCGTTAAAAAATCGTCTTCCAAGGGCGATCTAATTTCTAGTCTCTTAACCGCTTTAAAAGACAATAAAAGGTGCTAAGTATTTAATAGATTACTGCAGATTAATATATATGATTGCTACGCCTATTGATTATATCCAGTACTAATGTACCATGATACACGTATGTTGCTATCGGATGTTATGATCACATTTAAGAGATGATAAAATAGAAAATTGAAAGGAAATTTGCATTAGATGATGTGACAGCATTACTTTTTAATTTACTGCACAGTAATTACAGTAGTTATCCATACAACTATAGCATTATACCTATACTTGTATTCTTATTATTTGCTGTCTATGTCGCAGCTTACCCTACCAAAATAGCGAGCTGAATTGATGTTAACTAGTTACTGCATTAACTTTTCAATATCAGTTACATTGTAATTGTATCTACAGTATTTAACATAACAAACATCTTTGCTTATAGTTTTAGTAAAATGCTGACCTATCTATTCCGAAAATTTTTAATTCAGATATTGCATATGTTCTGCAGTATCATCATTATTCAATAAGTTTTGTTTTATTACTACAGAAATGTTCCAGATCCTTTACATTCCTACATGTATCCGGAGCTATCATCTATTAACGTGAAATTACCAACGTATGGTACGCGAACTCACACCATAATTCTAGTTGATCATCAACAAAATGTTACTTTTACTGAACATACCATGCAATATCCTATAACCGAGAATCCAAAATGGATCGAAAATTGCTACGAATTCAGGTTTCAATAGCTCTCTAGCTTTACCGATCGACTAAATATCGATTTTATAACATGCTATGCAAACTAGTGTATTAATTTCATAATAAAGATAACTGTAAATATGAAATGCTACCGAAACTCGTAAGCACCTAAATACAGACATGCAATAGTTTTTAACTTAACAGATTATGTGTCTAGTATGATAGCCAAATTCTTCTAAAATTGCTTCTCTTTCTAGATTTATTTATTGATAGACACACAAAAGGAACTAGTAATTATTAGATTAGTATTAATTAATATAGTAATTTATGTCGAATCATACCGTATGGACAATTGCAGTGTACGAATCATTTATGAAAGCATGTAATATTCTTGTCTACAAATTTAGGGTTATGTATTGGTACTGTAATTACAAAATATCGTTATTAAAATGTTGAAAACTGTATGGTTATGTATTCATACGCATCCTTGTTGCAATTCCTGCTTTATTACTTAAAAATTCATCGCCTTCGTAAAAGATTTAAATCCCTTTCTATAATTTCTATTAATCATACTCGTACTTCTTATATTTACAGATAGAACTAATATTGTTACGTATAGTATAGTAATCTTAAAATTTCACTATTGATTTTAAACAAAAATTGGATCGTAACTGATGACTGAAATTCGTTAGAGCGTGCTCTATCCTGAACCAAAGTATGATTCATGTTATTTATTAACCTTGTTATACGCCTGCTGGACTAGGTACAACGTTAAATTCAAAGTTCTGTCTTAAAATGTCGTACCAATGCATTGAAAGCATAACGTGCAAAAAATTTTATGAAACGTTTGTAAATAGTTTCTCAATCATAGTACACTTATATATACACAATTGGTAAAGTACAATTCTCAGTTATATCTTACAGCATAAATGAAACGACAAAGTAGCAGTTCTTTAACGTAGTTCTTGTTGTAAATACAAAAAAGAAACACAGGAATAAGGGTCTTCCATTATGTTATAACGCCACAAAGTAACGATTATCTTCATAGCGCGAATCAAGAGGATATACATACAACTCTTGGAACGCTTTTAGCCTAAATAATTGCATATTGCTGGTATAATATATCTCGAACAGTGTAATAATCGTTGCAGATTGCGCCTTCTAAAGTAATTTTGCCAGTTTCCGTCTACAGAATAAGTATAAGATTATTTAGTAATCCTGTAGTGTTTATAGTCTAACTAGATGAAATGGCGTTATAATTACCCATTTGAAACAGTATAGATTAATAATTATAAGTTAACTTTAACTTACTCTACGAACAGCAATCTTGTCATTGCATACTATCACACCACCAACAAATTCCGCCTAATAGGATATATATATATAGGTAATACGGTAATTTTCATGTAAGTTCTTAAATACAACAAGCACGACTTATAGAAATTAAAATGCACAGAAGGAATATAAAATTAACAAGGATCAAATCAAATCTGAATAGAATAAGATCTTTACCTGAATTCCGGCTTTAGTTAAAGTTTGCTTCAAATCCGATAGCCTTGGGTCATTGATAAAAACTGACTTATGACCAGGAATCTATAATAATTTTTAATTCCAATAAAAATATGAGTATTGTACATAATGTAAACTATTACCAATTTTTCATGGATAAATAAAGCTTTACCTCAGATTGCAGTAACGGTTCCAGAATTGGTACGACCGCTTCCGTTATACTTGTATTATCAGTATCCATAGCTTCATCTTCATTTTTATTGTTCTTATCTAATAAACGCTCGTGACCCTTCGCTGTGACTGTTACCCGTCCATCAACCCATGCTAACTCTGCATCTTTAGCATTGCAGTAATACAAGGAACTAACCAAAGAGTCGCGAAGCCTAACCTACAATTATATAGAAAAAATTTACTGCATGAAATAAAATGTAATAATGATAATGAGACAGTATAATTAACTTGTGGAAGTCAATCATAAATCGATAGCAACAAATAGCGCTGGCTGAGTTTAGAACAATCCAAAGCGAACTGATTGGCACTGTTACTATCACGTGCTCCAAGATTATAAGTAATGTAGTCGAATGTGAACAATATAATCGCAACAGGTACCTTCTCAAATCCAGTACCCGCCTTAATTTTGAGTCCATTTACAAGTCACACAGTTTCTATTACTTATTTAATTTATTATCGTTATCTGGCTTCCGAAATCGCTACAGCATACTGCGTTTATTACATCGTGCCCTAAAAATCTTTTCACTCTCCTTACTAGATGTCAATAAATCATCGCTATCTGTGTACGAGAAGAGTGTTACATACAGTATTACGCTAAACGCTAAAGGTCTTCTTCCTGCTAGCGAGATTGCAATGTTCTGTTGTAAATACATATTCAATCGAATGTATAAGAATTCACTATTGTTCGTGTATAAATTATTTGCTGGTACAAGCGGTACTTTCTCCGACACTTATCAGAGAAATATGAACAGGTTATTATTAGTGCAGCAATAAAATCAGTGAATCATTATGATTTTACCATACACTCTTCATTACTATTACTTCTGTACCTGATATAAGTGACTCTCAAATGTGGCGTCTACCGTTTGGCCTACGACCGGGGTGAATACCTTTCGGACACCCATTTCTTTTGATTGCCGGCAAAAATTACCTAATTCCTGAACAGCAGCAGACGAACCTCTTACCAATACCTAAACAGTTATCCAATTTTTAGTTATTTGCTTAGAAAATATTGCTTGTAAGGTTTCGTAATAAGATACATATTAATATTGTTTACGAACAAGATGCCTGGGATTGACCAAGCTGAGAATATTTCTGATAGATTCCCCGTCTGAGCGGCCTTCGAAATCGATAAGGCTAATTCTACAGCTGAAAGATTAAGATACCTTGGTAAACTGAGCGTTAAATTAAATCAAAGTCCTTAATTTATATTCTGATATTTACTTAATGTCTATGTGCTTCAGGAATGATACACATTTCGTTGGGATTTTAGCTGAATAAAGAAACAATAGACTACTTAAGAACAGAAAAATCATGGAACAGAATTTTTTAAGTCATTCACATCCATAATTACTTGATTGCAAAACTTCGTAATCCATACTGTTCCCATCCTTGAATGGTAATAGAAGACAAATTTTTAAAATCGACGTTAATTAGTCATTAGTTAGTTAAAAGCAGGGAGGCTACAGAAGAAATTTGCATTTATTACAAGTTTCTGTTAGCTATAGCTAAAGTAGGGTACTGTATTATTGTAAATATTGCATTGTAACGATTTCCCTTATTTAAGAAATAGTGTCTATCTGAATGTGTCACCTTTTTAGGCTTATCTTCTTCAGAAACATCAATTAGAGTGAAATCTTCAGGGCTAGAAATGGGCACAGTATTCCATGTTAGAAATAATTTATAAAAAGATTTAACCTATAAGAGCAATTCTAAAATCTTCTCTGATATTTCTTACTTGATAATTTCGCCATATTCATCCCACTTAATCCGTGTTTCACTAAATGGATACATTGGATGAACAACAGCTTTTTTAAAAAAACTACTACGGCGGTCATCATCCTTTATCATTAAATCGCGTTTAACTTTTCCAGTATGATATCCACCGGTTATAGTTGTCAGTTCATCATCGCTATCCTCATCGGCAATTTCATCAGCCATTCGATTTCTACATACAGGCAGGCAAGGGTATACTCGTATAAGTATTTCTTAAGCCAATTTAGATTACTACATACAGAACGTCATTTTATTAAAATATAGACAATAGTTACAAACTTTAAACCGTCAAGCTCTTTCACTTTTTCCTTTTCACGTTCTTTTTGTAGATACTCCTCTAATTCATTACCACTTAATTCTACTCTTGTTTTGACCTAAAATGAAAATCACCATATATATTAAACAGCAATGAAGCAATACTATTTAAAATATATCATTGTTTTACCGTAACGTCTATTGATTGTGGCCTCTCGTCTAATATATGCCGCCCCAGAGTTCCCGGAGAAGATCTTCCAGTAAAGATAGTTAAATTCTTTGAATTTCCAGCCCATTGTAAGAATAAGTCTCGAGCAAAACCGCAAGTCAGATCAGGTGAACTAGCAAGAACAACCTATTGAATAGCAATTTAGGTATAAATTCTATTCTATATATCAAGACAGAGGAAAAAAAATACTGCGGGGCATGCAAGGAAATTAGATGAGTAAAAACTAGCTTCATTACTTTTGGCTCGGGCAGACCAGAAAGTTCGTTTAGAGAATGGCACAACTGTATGTACCTGCAAAAATGATATTCACAAGCCAAAATCGGGTAATGAATTATAAATCTTAATCACGTTGCCATTGATAGTCACAGTCAAAATTTGTGAAGCCTTACTTAAACTGAAACGGATTATTTCGATTATCTTCAAAGGCTACTAGTACTTTATCGCACATCCACTCAACCTAATAAGTAAACGGTAAAATTAAAATTAAATCATTCACTTTGTTAGTAATATCGTAATATCAAACCAAGCTAAGAAATTAGCCTACTTGTGATTTTGCAAATTCAACGACATTGTAGCTGACGTGATTTAAAAGGGCTATCGGATAAGCTGAAAGACCAGGGTCTTTACGCCAGAGATGATCCTTATAAAAATATTACGTATTAAAATCGAGCTGTATAAAGTGTGTACAAAAAGGTAATCATTTTTATATGTAGGTACTTGATGTTAAACTAAACAGTAGATATCGTATAACGAACTTTAGATATTCATCAGATAATCCCGTAGCTAGAAGTTAACTAAATTATGTTATTGCAGAGTACGTTAACGTTACGTACTAAAAGTAGTGAAAGCTCAAGAACACGTCCAGCAGTATCCACAGCAATCAAGACATTGCCACCGGATCGAAGTGCATTCAAGACACGAGCTAGGGTTGAAGAAGAAATTACTAAGTAATAATCACAGCTTTTGATATGAAGAGAGTACATCATAACAATATAGTAATAATTCACAATAACCAAAATTTAAAGTTTGAAAGAAGCGCAATTTAATTCTGTCAAGGAAATAAATTTTTCGTTGATCTTACATATAAGCTTTTGGTCTCTATCGCGTCTTTTAGCTTGATTGTATTGAGCATTATAGGCATCAGTAATTAATAAAGATGGATGGGTCAAGGTCTCCAGCACTGAACCATTTAGATGTCTAGAAATCGATCAATTTTTAATTATAAGCAATTGTGTATGTGTAATATTATCTCACACTGTATCCTACGATAACTATCGAAATATGCAAGCCTAATAAGGATGCGAATCTATTCTTAAATGGTACAGATTGAAATAATTACCTTTCCTTTTTGTGGTTATAATCGACAGCATAAATGATATCTTCTTCTCCATCTTTGATAATTTTCCAAATTGTACCGCCAACCATATGACCAGCAGCGTAAGGCGTAATGGTGAGACCGTTTCCTTTACCTAAATTTTTACGTCGATTTAAGATAAATCCTTTTAATCTATCCAAAGCAGTTTTCGTTCATAATTTAGCATCAGTTACTTCCATCAATGTTCGATTTATAACCGTTTATTACATTTTACAGGTAAATTATGTTTCTCTGGGTTAAGAAAATTTACAATAATAACCAATCATAAAAGACAAACTGATCTACTACTTCAAGTAGGGACTTCTCTTAGAAGTTCTTGCTTCAAGTATGTATTGTAATTAAGTAATGGGAAGATATTACCATCAACACCTACTGGTAATCCTCAATAATACAGTATTGAGCGTTAATCATTAAATATGCCAGTATTACGTTTTAAGCTTTAAGAATGATGTAGTTTTAAGGCATTCTGTCTTAATAAAAGAATACTATTGGGTTAAATGTATTTGTTGTAACCACTACAGGTCCTAACTGTAATTTCATATTTTTTACAGTAAATATTTATAACAGTCCATAAATTAGTACAGTACCTTAACAATAATTAGACATTGACAATGTGCAATTGTAATATTAACATACTATCAAAGCATGGATAATTTGCAATCGGATCGTTGCTCTTTAGACAGTAATGCGCTACAGCTGAAAGCAACTTGATACATATTTCGCAAGTACAAATGCTTAAAATTTTAAGTTTAAAATTGGATTGTTAAAAGAATGAGCGTTACCTGTTAAGTGAACGTGCTGAGAATACTTCAATGCAGTAATTCTACTGAAAGCATCGTCGATATCATCCAATGAGAATAAATCGAAATCTTCGTAATCGTTTCTGGACTGCAAAAAGTTGTTATTTGTTAAATTGTATGCATTAGTGTACGTATCTATTAGCGATATCATTTATTGAGCATTACGCAAGCTAGTTTTGATTATAGATTTATAAAGACTACCACTACCTATAATGTACAGTGTAGCAAAAGGGGTAACGGATTCATTAATTATTATCGGTAAAATAATCGCTTTCCCATTGAAAAAGATAACGTTAGAAATAGATAGAAGGCACCTACCAAGAAAAGATCGTACATAAACATTTGGCCCATTTTGTGAACAGGGACTGTAGCATAGATTGGACATTTTAGTTGACATTTTCCGACTAAGTAAGGAATAGCACCCAGGTGTAGCAAGTCTGGATGAGACAGCAATACCGCGTCAATTTGATGAATATGCCTATCGATCAACAAAAGGTGCAAGTATTAAGGCAATATTTTACAATGATCTGCTAGTATTGAATTTCTAAGGAAATAGCATGATTACAATCGGTAAAGTGCTTTTCAAAAGTAATTATTTTTAGGCTACACCTCAAATAGCATTCACATTCTGAAATCATTAAAGTTGCTCATACTGTGCTTCGCTAATTTTTATATCTACAGAAAAGTAAAACACAAATATGATATGCTATAGTTGCAATTGTTAAAACCGTGACATCTCCATTTCTAGACATACATTATAGAATTATTAAACATTATGAAATAGTAGCTTGTTCATCTTATATTCTAATCTAATTCCCTTTTATTTGATTGACCACTCTGTATATATGCATCTGTGTAATTCAACATTAGAACGAAGCCACTGTCTGAATTAAAATGTACGGTATACTGTACTCGTGTAACGTCTGATTCCAAAAACATATCTGAAGATTTTAATAGCGTAGTAAATAACTTTTATCAAATATACAAGAATGTACAATATACTGTACTTCTAAATTGTAGTAACTTTAGATGATATACAGTACCAATATGACTACCTCAACATATACGGTTAGCTTGTGTATCGTAGTAAAAATAATTTTGTTACTGCACAGTCGCCACCTGGTACGTTGCTGACAGTTATGCTATCCTGCGTAAATTAGATGCTATACAGCGCAATTACTTCACCACCTTGAATTCACTAGTACATTATTGTAAGATTTTATAACTGGAGTCCGATATCCATAGCGGCATGTTTATAGTTCACGCTGTCTGGTATACACTACGTAGCATGTTAATGTATTCAAGGATCATCCAATAAATTTTAAGCCCAAAATAGGAAAGTAGGAAGTAGAATGGTTACCTCTTAACTCGTTCCATCATTTCCATATCAAAATTTTCATCCCAACCGCAATCAAGTAGAAAATTAAATTCATCGACTTGTAATAAATAGCAAGGTGGGCCCTCATCTTGTCCACCAGACAATACCGTCATACGAATAATCGAAGTCATAGCGAAATAGATTGATGTAAATTCACTGCAATAAATGATTTCAGCTCAAAGTTTATCCATGATCATCAGACACGATCGTCCATTCTCATCTTCTGCACGGTATGTGTACAGTACATAGCGGGTGCTAAGTACAGTACGTAGCTGGCCTTAACATTCTACTGTACTGTACTGTACACTGTATTGTACAGTACAGTGTACAGTCTCGTTTTCCAGAAGTCCCGGAGTACAGTACAGTACAGTACAGGACAGGACAGTACTGTACTGTGTACACTGTACAGTCTAGAAGTGCGGTACTGTACAGAACAGTGTACAGTACAGTAGTTTAATAGTAAAACAAAGCACTGCTTGCAGTAAAATAAATGCTACTTTACTATATGCTATAGTACAGTAGTTTAACAGTAAAACAAGGCAGTACCTGCAGCAAAATAAATGAATACAGTATAGTTAACCCATCGCAATTAGTTAAGGCCACATTAGTAGTCCATGCATACCGTAGTGTGTTCTGTCAACGCAGAAAAAAGATATAAAAAGGTTATGAAGTCGTCTCTGATAGCAATAATACCGCGTGCCCGTATATACAGCATATACTATATATACAAGTTCTTTTTTTAAAGTGCGGTATTCCATTAATGGCAGTATAGCATATAGAAGTAAAGACAACATTAACATTAATCTACAGTAGAAAATCTGCGCAGGATTCATAACAAGCAACGTAATATTGTACACAGTGAGGGTGTTAGAAAGGTCATTCGATATTAGAAATCGGTTTGAAATAGCTTACGTTGAATACTTTTCACTATACGTATTTATGCATTGTATTTTGCAAGCATCTAGTATTTTTAAGGGCTCAACATCATACTAGTGCAGTACAGTATTGGATAAAAAATTACTAATTATGATTCAATGGCGACAAATTTATATTCTCATAGTATCAACAGTACGAAAATACTATCAAAGTCTATAAAAATTGTAGGAGTCGGATATTACTATTGATCCAAACTACTTACTATAAAATCCAAGCTTTATTTCCTTATAATAAATTTTTGCTACAATTGCAGATTAACAGTAATGTATACGATGATATTAAATGGGAATAATGTACTGACTGTAACGAGCAATTGCGACTGCATCGCCCAAAGAGGTAAAAATCTCGACGGCAGCATTACTTATACTCCACAGTACGCGTATGCTACTTTATTTTGCAGCTCTATCATCCTATTTATTACATAATCATTAACGGATGTATGTAATCATGATATGCATGAGCAAATTTACATGTGTGCAAACGCACTATTTTCACATAGCAATCAGATTCTATATGACATCAACTTATTTCCAGACTTACATTCCTCCTAGTGATCACTAATACCGCTAATCAACATAAAAAACATTTTTATTATAAACTTAAAATTTAATTTAATCCTACAATATCTGAGCATAGCTATTGTAACAACAGTAAAACCGCTTGGTAATTCACATTACTGTAGTTATTCGTATTATTAAATTTTATGAATATAGTCAATCTATGCGCCTGAATGTATGGGAGGTGATCATCATGTCCGGTAAATATCATTTTTATTGCGCATTACTACACTATACTAGCTGGTGCAGCTTACGTACGTAAATTGCAAGTATGAAGGATTATTTTATTTTCATTCATCATTTATTTACATATACTCGCATGCGTAATTCTTATTTAACGTGATTTTCTTGTATTCAAATGATAGCCATCGTAACAAATATATAACCAGTGATAAAATTTATATGTACTTAAATGAGTAAATTGTATAGGGTTAATATCTTAGCAGATGTTGTCAATTACAAACTTGAACGTAGGATTTGAATCTATAATATAATCCACAGTTTCTTGGAGTTGTGCCAAATTATAATGCCTATCAAACCACACGGTAACATCAATAATCCATTGTTTTGTTATATTATTAAGCATTTCTGTAAGTTATTATTACCTTGCTAAATTTGCAAATATACGCAACTTGCTGAGGACACTATCTGTACTGATCGTAGTTAGATAATCACCAGCGCAAGAACAATGAGTCGACATATCATCTTCTTTAACCTGGCGATGCATATTAGCATTTATAAATAAGACAAGATTAACTAAATCGGTAATTGAAAGAAAGATCTGTTGGATAGCGCCACTTAAAATCCTTTGGCCATATTTCATAAGAATAAAGGCTAATGATTACTTAAAATATGTTTAGCGTAAGAGTGACTGGACACTACGATAGAAATACTTCTAGCAACGTTCATTATTTGAGTAGTATCATTACAAACCTGTCGACATTTTAAGCACTTTAAATCTTGAACTAGATATGACACAGCTTGTCTTTTAATAACAGATATCAAATGCTGCTCAATCATTTCCGTTTCGTAATTATTCTCGCAATTTAGACAGCGCCAATATGGGCTAACGTTAAAAATACAAATTTTGTTATTATAAAAGTATCGATTGCTGTCATCACAATATAATCGCAAAACTTAAAGTAGACGACAGAACTTACACATCATCTTGTATAACTGGAATATCTCTACAAATGTCCAAATCTGTGCAGCTATTGCAGAATGTACAGATTACCTAAAAAGAATCCATTCAAGTCATTCATTTGCGAGAAAATAGTTAGCTAAGCATATCAACTTTCCCCATTTCATAAGAAGCAGACATTGTAACAGTACCTCCGGAATGACATAAGATATGCAGGGATTTTGAAATATTGCGTCTTGGGAAAATTCTCCTACACCAATTAGTCGTAATAAATCACGCCTACAATACAATGATAGCAGTAGTAATTATGAAATTTGCTTATAAAAATATTTATTATAGACATTTTTTAACTTAGCAAAATATTCTGATCCCTTACCGCAATTTGTTAACTCGGTTTTGTATACGGCTATCCAACGATAAAACCTAATGATAGTTAGGAGTCGTAAGTATAATGTATCGTTATAGCAAGATCGATATCCTAAAAATATTATAATATGCATACTTTGCAAACAGCTTTAACGAACTGCAACGCTGGATTGCGCAATACCAGATGAGAGCCAGGGAGATCTGGAAAATAGTCAGTAGTATCCTTCTCAGCATTTCCATATGGCAGCATTTTCTGTATTTTTTGAGTGAGACTACAATTGTTAAAGCGAATTATTAAGATTGTTAGTTATAACCACACAATATAGCGCTTATAAAACCAAAAACAATTACCTAAACAACTGTTGCGTTAGTTCTTTCTCGATATATTGTTGCGCAAAGGTTACAACACTGGAGGAAGTACTCTAATATAAAAATAGTTTTAAACCATTATAACAAGAATTTAAGACATTTGATACGAAGTAGTGAAGTTAACTAGACATCCCTCTACAAACATATAAACTCAGCTTCGATGGAGATAGAACTACCTGCGATTGGCTTCCAACGTAACGTTTAACGGGAGTGTTCCCAGGTGTAATATCGCATTGCTTTTTATACATCGCATGTACAAAACCAGCTATGATAATCTATCAAGCAAGATATATGTTTGCGAATTACGAGCGTCCAGTACTTTACAAGCATCTCGCCTTGGATAATAGATAAGTTTAAAGCAGATGATTATAATTACAGTACCTGAAAAAAATCTTGGCATGATGCCAAGGTAGGTAAATACTTGCAGATATTCCAGTTCATTTCAACGCGAAGCTGATAATTACAAATCGCCATTAAAATTAAATAAATAGGTGTAATCAATATCCTATCATATAGTCAATTAAGACGTTATTTAATGCATGTCTTCATTTATAGGACTTTTTATGAACAAAACCTCGTTCTCCTCATTGTTTTCATCGCTAATTGAATCTGATTCATCGCAATTCTGGTCAAACTCAAAGACATCAGCCTTGCTGCGGATACCTCCAAAATTGGCCTAAAAAATAGTATAGAAAACGTTGCAAATCATAAATTAAATAACTTAACATCACTAATCTTCGATACAATAACTTACATGATCCATCCACATCAGGTATTCCCAACACATAGAAAATCGAAGTTCTATACTTTGGAACATATCGCGAGACGCAATACTTTGCAAAATAAATTCTAAGTAGCTGCGTGCATCGTTCACTCTATATAATCAAGATTACACACAGTGGATTATCAAGACCATTACGATGTCGTGATGTTAAGATGTAAAGACAATTATATTATACCTTCTCTTTTTGGTACAAATAATAATTTTACTAAAGCTTCCGTGAATAATTGTAGACCCTAGTCGCTTAAATTCCGCGAGTAGCTAAGAAGGAAAACACAAGAATATTAGCTTATTTTAGTAATAAAGCAGCGTCATTGTAAGAATGATCAACTTATTAAAGAGCCTTCTTGAAGGTTCATTCCACTAAACCTGTGCAAACAATTTTTCCATGAGAAAGCGAACAATTCGATACATTGCTGGATCATATAGCAGGGCTAAAGGAGATTTCAACCATCTATGTAAAAAGAATTTTAATTACTATACAACATTCAAAATAGCGAATATTCATAAGGTAAATAATATGTCATTAAATTTATCCGGTAGATTTTAAACCTATAGAAATGCATAAGTTGCAGATCAGCATAATGATTTTCGTATGAGGAGACTTCATGTAGCCAGCTGTGAACCATAATCTTCATAATCCTGGAACAAGATAACAATAAAAAATTTAGTCCCAGGCAATAATTTATAACAGTATACAGAAAAAATTAATCACTACTATATAAAAGTTATTATTGTGTTAACATAAACAACCCAAATATTCGTAAGTAAGTTGAGTATAACCTAAAGGTAGAAGAACAAAGAGTCATTTCATCATACGAAGATAATTCTGTCCCAGGATTTCCATTTGTGATCACGATATCGTCTAATGAAGCCTTTGTACAAAAATATTTGTTATTAAAGTATAATTACGGTAAGGTGTATGATGGAGATCGACAATTATTAGCAACATCAGCCGAATTTTTAGACAGTTAATATACTATAGTCATTACGTATAGTATTACCTGAGGTGCCGCATCGAAAGTTAGGTCTGTTTCAAAGTCTCCCAGCCGCAGCGACTTTATGTTCGTCCGTCACGTTCCCAAAATTGTTTTAAAAGGTAATAAAAATCATATGGACTGTTTATGATACATGGCCAAATTGTTCCATTTTGAAGAAGCCGACTTATAAAAATAATACTACCCGTACCTGCAATACAGAACTAACTGCTAAGCCGTGCATTGAGATTTCGGCAGAAACCGAAGGATAACATCCAGGATTGTTAAGCTCTATTGACGGTAATTCTTCTGATACAATACTCCACCTATATATGTCAATATAACCATTACTACTAACAATAACAATATTCACATATAGCAAAAGTTGTTATAAAGGACAAACTTAACGGTTATCTCATAGCATGCAAAATACTATAAAATATAAATTTTTTTATAGAATGCAAATATAATACCTGCTATCATCATCTTCTTTTCCGCCTAAGTCAGGCCTTGGCGTACGAGAAGCCCAGATTAAATGATTATTTTTGGCCAAATAGCGAGCAAAGAATAAATCGTTAACAAACAACGGAACGTCAGCAGGCATGTTGCCTAAAGGAATGTGAGCATAACGAGCATGGTCTAGTCGATTCTAGACAAGAATACAAAATAAAACACAAATCAATTAAATACGCGTACATGTAATGGTTATATTCATTTCCGATCAAAGAATACGAGTATAATACTAGACACTATACCAACCTCTAACCATATTTCGATGTTTAGATGGTGTTGAATCATGCGTCGCACTGCATGTCTTTGCCAATCCAAGATAGGGTAACGGTTATCACTGTTAAATATCATTCAAAATAGATAAATCAACACTTTTAATGTATAGGTCATTCTGATAAAATAAGTACATGGTGATTGTCGCACATATTTGATACGGACCTGTCATTACTCGATACAGAAGCGACCGGAAAATCGTTAATTGCTGGTATATACGTTGCTAATTTGATGTAATCTGTTATACACATATATAATACATTTTTAAAATAAATACAGTATCAGCTTTACGATCAACTTATTGATTTGTGTTCAATGCTAGAAACATTCTCCAATAACTACCTGTGGGAGATTGTATTAATAAAATTGTAGGTCCATATCTCATTTCCTTATATGATATTAGACTCCTTATTAAGGTACGATATACCCTTCTCATATCAGTTTCAATGTGCAACTGGAAAGAATATTTTTCCGGCGGGAGAGTAACATCTTTAGCTTCATTTTCTGCTTTCTTTTTTCTATAAAATATAATGGAAATAAAATTAACAGCAAGAACTATAATATATAACAATTTGAGAATACATACTTTGCGCCCCATTCGGATTGATATATATTGCTCAAATTGTTAATCTGATTTGTGCGTACAGTATCAATCAAGAATACATGTGCCTAAAACAGTCACGAAAAAATTTTAGAGACTTTGTAAAAAATATTTATTAAATCAATATCTGCACTTTTGTATCTTAACCAGAAAACAAAATAAGTACGTCTAAAATAATGCTATTTACTTCGCTATTTATTGGAGAAAACAAGCCAAAGACCGCTCTGCTTCCACTAAAAAATATTAAAAGAATTTTATCTAAAGGCATTTGAACAACGTATTGTAAATAATTTTCGCTATAAAAATATTCAATACAATAGCACCAAACAGTTTCAGCAGTTTAATTCTTACTGATGACTATGATATAAATAGATATATTTCAAATTTCCGGATTCCAAATATGAGTGTTCTGCTAATGTTTTAAATTCTAAATGACGTAAGTCGAATTCCGTAATATCCTAAGAAAAGAAATTCCCTACATTATCTTACTAGAATCGAATACATCACAAATTACATAAAATTTAGACACAACTTAATTATCAAATGTTGTTTTACTAGTAACCTTGGAAGCTTCAGATAAATATGCCTTTTTATTAACTTTGCAAAGGCAACCTAGCCGAACTAAGGCCCGAAACATAAGAGGGACCTACCGAAGATGATAGTAAATTTTTCGAAGTTGTAGTCTAATTAAAAGGCAGTTATCAATTCGATTAAGTATATTATAATAAGGATATTTCCAATTGACGTACTTGCGCTTCATAAACGCCTTCAACATCGGGGGATGAAAGCTCAGCAGATAGTTCACTAGACAGGAATAATCGAAATAATTAAAGCGTATTATTTTTGTTTACTTCATTCTGTTATTTTAATTATGACAATAATTAAAAACATACCCGGAGCGTTCGGCAAATATCTCTTCTGGAACAGAATATTCATACAAATTGTAAACCTGAGAAGAATGGGGAAGTTGTCGGTTTACCTTACGCCATACTATTAAATTGATGTGTCCAAGAAATATATATTAATAAAGCGCGCATAATAAAACTGTGATTATATAGTACAACTGAAAAGAAAAATTTCATAGTGATATGTCAATAAATTATATTCTTTACGAATACTGACCGACACTTTCTCCTTGTTTCGGTCTTTTTAGATTTACATAAAAGATCCTCGGGACTCTAAGGTAGAGTGAATACATTTCGATTCCTATCAATACCCATAATCTAAATCTCCCCATGACATCCGTTTCTGCAATCTGTCAATGGTACATTAACGAGTATACGAAGTTTAGAATGACATATGATAACACAAGATACCGACGTTCAGACCACGAATATAAATACTTCCAAGTAAAGAATCCAATAAAGTAGTACATTCTCTAATTCGCTTATTAATGTGACTATTTCAATCACCGAAAACGCAAACTATGGCTAATAAATACGAAATAGTCACCTGTACGATCTGCCATATAGAATTTAAAAGTATATTGGCTTGCTTTCTCATCATCGCTGACATATCCCATCTTTCTTCAAGTTCTAAAGAACCACTATCAGAACGAGTTTGTCTACGTTTCTTTTTCTGCTTTAATTGGTAATTCCATTTCCGCTTTTGGAAGCGTAACCAATCTCCAAACTGCTCCTATAAAAGATGTTATATTATACCGAAGTTATACTCAAATTCTTTGCAAGTATAAACGACTAAGTGACGAACTTCATCTCGGTTGAGCGCCGGGGGAATGCCTAAAGCATCTTTCCACGGGAGCGATAGATCTTCGAGATCAGATTTCGATGAGTCTTTAATATTCGTCGTCTTCCTGAAAAATTTTTTAACAGTGGATGTAATCGATGTCTTCTTGAAGCTCTTCCCCGAACTCAGATCTTCAATATCAATTACTGGGTTATTTATTTTCTCCTCAGTATTGATCGTTTGTCTATCATCACTCTCAGGATCAACCAAATTAGAATAATTCTATTTGGGGACAATAGCATTCATATATTATATTAATCAAACATTTTCGATGTACGGATATACAAATTTCAAAATAGATAAATCTACTTTACATGAAGACAAATTCTGTAAATGAATATATATATAATCGTAATACTAGTACCTTTTTCGGTTCTTTCTTAAAAATTTCGCTTATTCTGCTTTGCTTATACATATCGTTCTTCTCTAATAAACGCTTATGCAACCAATTAGGGTGTTGAACGCGGGGAATAGGATTGCTGATCTAGTAAGAGATCAATTATATTCTCAGATACAGTAATTTACACATTAACTCATACTGCATAATCACAATCTATAGTAAATTTTGCATACTGGTATAAGTTGATACGTTCAAGATAATGCTCAATAATACTCACGTGCAAAATAAAAATATTAGTATTATCAAATCACTTACTCCTTGCAAGGCAGCAGGAATAGTAATTATCTTCTGTATTGCACTACTTAATCGTTCGATGTAGTAATCCCAGTCTAGGATCTGAGTCGAAATTACAACATAAATCAAATTCACAAAACATAGACTATAAATTAAATACCAATTTTAATAATGTATAAACGACATCTGATAGCCACTGGTAAAACTACTTAGGTAGACGCTTACTGATCGAATATCAAAATCTTTTAAAGAAGGAGATTTTAACCATTTTCGAAGATAGTGATGCTTTACGCTACGTTCTGTTTGAAAGATGGCAAGTGGAATAGCCCTAAATATTTATGCGTACATCGACACAACTATGTTAGCATTTCACAGTATGAAATAGGCTATTACCAAAATTAACTACTTTACCAATCTAATTGTACCTTTCAGTCACTGGAGCACCTTCTGGCTTTCTTGATATGATAAAACGGCAACTTAAACCTTTATCACGGACCATTTGATCCCCCAAAAACTGTAGTTTTAATTAAAGTAAGATTTATTTACTGACAATAAGCGAGGAAGATAAATACTAAAGTTTAAGTATGTTACTTCAGCTAAGCGTTTTGCAGTGCTAATAGATGATGACTTCTGATTTCCATATTCTTCTAAAGAGCGCGCCATATTACGATTTTCAGATATGAGGTCGAAGAGTTCACTATCCGGTAAATTAATGGCCTAATAATCGTAATATAAATTCTTAGCAACTAATCTAGTACGAGGAACGACCAAATTACAACGTACACACCTTACTATGTAATATATCCAACCAGTAGTCTGCAATCTTAGAAACAGATTTATAACACTCTTCAAGGCTTGATCCCAAAAGGAAAGCCTCAAAAACTGAGGACTGAAATATCTTGATCAACTGGAGCTCTCCTCGTCTCTTTACTTCGAAACCCTAATTGAAATAAGTAAATAAACACATATATAATTATAGACCATAAAAAATGTATTGTAATCTTCACCTACGTATAAGTTTACCTTGAGCTCCGCTAACGAACCATCTTCATTAAATACAGCGTACCTATACAAATCATTATCAAAAAATTTAAAGTAGCTGCTCAGTCATCGTGAATATTATGTAGTATCGAAGCATATACTAAATCTACACCTCTTTTTTAACTTTTTTCCTTCTTCTTTAGATGCAGGTAAGATCATTGCTTTGTAAGGTCCATCCACCTATTCATGCAATAAAGTATTATATCTACTTGGTTAGCACTTTATCAAACTTGGTAACCGGTACGTAATTACTATTTTTCTTTACAATAGGTAACGATATTACCGATATCGACGATAAGCAATTTTATACCTTATGAGTCATTACAGATGATTTACCTCAAAAAAAATTGAGTTTTCACTTCTAAATGTATACCGCAGCTTTGTTGAATCTACCAACTCGTTATACTGGTGATTTGTAAATTCGTCTTTTACCATCAAGTTCAGTATTGCATTTGGATAAGATATGATAACGCTAGGACGTTGAGGATTATTTGTTCGTATCTAATACATAAACGAATCAATTTTAAATCGCCTTTAAATCAAGGTTATTTATAATCTTTTGTTTTGAAATGTTTGCGTGGCCGTAAAATTGTTTATTAGACTGTTGCAGTAACTCAACCAACAATAACTATAGACTTCGGAAATTATATTATAAAACTTACTACATAGTTTTCCGGAAAACTAGCAGGTAATGCACACCAGATACCATCAGTATCGAGTTCCAGCGGACGCCTAGAGAAGCATTCTATCAGTTAAGTAATTAGCAATATTCCTTAAATTGCGTACGAGAATTACCCTATCTGTTCCACTATTTCCCGTGCACGAGTAATAATACTTGCGCCGGTATAGCAAACAATCCCTGCCATCTCCATAGAATACCATCTAGCTCTGTAACAACCAGGTTATGTAAGACTGCACATACTTAAAACCCTTTAAACTAAATTTGAAAATGACGCATACTGTCTACCAAATTAATTATGAGAACATGTTTTTTAGCATTTTGTTTTACCCCTTCCTCATGACATATCCATAAAAGGAATTTAAGATACATTTGTGTGCCAATTGCAAAGAATCATATAGTATTTCTTTGGATTTAGCTCTGTTTCAAATACAACCAATGAAAACCTTTTCATAAAAAATTATTTGCGAAAAAATAGACTCACGACTTAATTTCTCCAGGATCTCCTTTCGAAGTTGCTGTAGAGACTTCTCGTTTCCATTTCTTGAAATAATCGCAAACAAAGTTCAGCTAGAAATACACTAATAGCACATAAAACATTGTCTTTTCATGTTAGCCGAATTGTTATAGATCAGTGTCACGTTCACCTTTAAAGCACGTTTGTATTCATAACGCCTGTCTCTAAAGGCCCTAACGGTATCTACATAGAAAGAATTTTCTCTTTGACAAACAGTGGAAGTTCGTGGCCCTGTGTTCGTGAGATGAACTTTTCTATAAACTCTCCTGCAGTAATCTAAATAGTTTACAAATCGATTATTCATTGTTGATTCAAAAATTATAGATAATATACAAATCGAATAATTTACCAGCAAGCCTTTTCTTTTCGATAGAGGCTTGTTCTACTCGAGATAACTGATAGAAGGCCTTATTTTCCTCATTGGATGATTTACCGGGAATCATCTCAGATTCAAGCTGCTGCCTTATTGCATGATATTCACTGCGAGAGGCTGGCACTAATAAGCATATTTGATAAATATTAAAATAACACATTAAATGATTACGTTAACTATCACTACTACATAAAAAATACGTAATGCTAACTGAATTGTCCACGCCAAGTCCACTCCATCTTCCTTTGGCAATTGGCGCCAGGTTTATTAAAATCACAGGCAGCGCATGTTGCTTCATCAACAATTGCGGAAGGCTGTAATTTTTTGCAAGAATTACTACACCAAAGAATACACTGTCTGCAACACTTTAGATCAGAAAAGTACAGATATTCGTACCTGCAAGCGATTAGTTAATATAATATTCGGATACATGGCACCAACATCAAGGTGATATATTAGAGGATTTTCCAAGCGCGAAGGTGTATTTTTGAGAGCCTGTAATTTTTCAGCAATATCTTCATAAACCTACAGTAGAATACATTGCATAGTTAATTTAGAAGGCGAAAATGCGGGTTAATACATTGCTACTTTTCGTATTTGGTATCGTACTTCCTCGATATTGGTTACGGAATCCATTGGAACTTTTTCTTCGACTTCAATGGCATGACGCATTGTTGCCCTGATGTTATTAGTTAATTTGTCAAACGCAGCTGGCACCTTAATGATAAATGAATGAGATCATACCTAATTAATTACAAAGGCTGCACTACGATTCCAGTCGGTATATTATACTCGCATGTACAAAAAAATTAACGCACCAACTTAAATTTACAAGGGATATCACTGCGAAAAACTCCTGATTCTATAGCCTCCACATGGCCACCAACATACGTTTCTTCTTCTAATAAGTGACCTTCGTCAGTAAATTTAGTCAAAATCTAAAATAAGATTGAGATCAGGGTTCAATACATCTTGTCATTTAGAAATATCTGACCATCGTAAATCATACGTAACAGCTCTAGCTTACAGTTTCTTGTTTATTAGGAAATATAATATTAGCTTGGTAAGCCTGAACCATGAGCAGTGTTTCACACAGAGTACCGCTACCCTTACGTAATACCTATGGAATATCAATATCACTCTAACAACCGTTTCAGTTTAGCATAAAAAAGTCTATGCTAGCTAGTACCTCGTCAGGTTTCATAGGAATAATTGTACATAATGAGAATACGAACGGATGAACGTACTTCATGTAAAGATAGTACGTGGCCACTGCATCAGAGACAGAATAGTTTGCTAGAATCTGATTTTATCAAATTACAGATAAATTTAATAGAAAACACTGGCAAATTAGCGTAGTTAGAGTATAAAGACTTATTAGTGGCATTTAAAATGCGTATAATCTAATCGGTTACAACATTAACCTGAGGTTGTTCACTGGCCATTCTACACATTTCTTCAGGATCGAGTTCAATAGGATTATATCTTAGTTTAGCCTAGAAATTAGATTTACAACATACTTATACGTACGGTATTTATAATAAAATATCTCAATATAATGCGTTTACCTTTGTAACAGCTTTCAGATTGTGACTACCAACTGGAAGATAACTATCTCTTTTCACCCACCTATTGATATCAAGTTCATAACAAAATAATTTATCTACCATTAAAATTGTATTCGTAGCATTAGCAAACCTGTAACAATCCATGTGACATGCATATCGTGATTTATATTCATCTTGATTATCTTTGGAAAATCCTATAAACATTAAGAAAGCAATGTTAGATAGGAGCCATAAAAAGAAAACAATTTGTAAGTACCTATTTCTTCAGACATATTAATATCATGAAATGCTGCTCTAGCCTCTATAAAAGGCCTAAACCCGACGAAAAAAATCAATCGTTAATACTTCAGAAAATAAATCTGATCTATGCTTAATATTTGCTCACCAATCGAATGCATCACCATTATACGTAGCGTAAATAGTGGGTTTTAATTCAATTATATGTTGAAAGAATCGATTCAATAAATTAACCTATAAGTTGTAAAATGACGCCTTTGTCAGAAAGAAATACTTGTACATAGTGTGAAACGTTAAAGGTCAGAAATGATACATAACTTACCTCATCCGGTTCATTAAAGATAATAAATGATCCCTCGTATTCAGGTTTCGGAGTATATTCAAAATCGTCAATATCTTCGGATACAATTTCCCGATTAATGATCAAGTAACCCTGTATTATTTATTATTCATAATTAGCGTTGATACCAATTGATGTGAATATAATGAACCCCTTAAATTGCTATAATTTTTACCTGACCATCGGCCATATAAGATATCATCATAATGGCATCACTACTGGAATCAGGGAATCGTAGCGGTAATTTGGTTGTTTCTATATCGAATGCTAGGACTAATGGATCCTAAGATTTAATAGAGATAAACACATTAATATTTTACACCAGCAGTGTAGAGTTGCAAAATTTTGCTTGATATCAACTAAAATTCTGTTATGCAATGCACACAGGTCTATCCAGGAGATCGTCACGTCTGGTTATCAACGGCGGTAATTCTCCTCTATTCTTAACGTCATACCAATAACCCTATTTCGAAATCAATCATTGCAAGCTAAACAACCTTTTACTAAATTTTGCATAACAACCCTTTGACGATTCCTTAAACGATAAGTTTATTAATAATACTGTCTATTTGATATACATTACTTACAACCCGAATATCCAAATCAATCGCTAAACGAACATGATAAGGAACATCATATTCACTAAATTACAAAACAATGATAATATAAAAGATAATCAGTATAATAAAACAAAAACGTAAAAATAGTCAATCCGGAATAACTTCAGACTTTAATTATATTAAATAACCATAATGTCGTTTTTATACCCACCGTATATCTATTAAGTTGTCTATAGCATCAGAATGCATTCTTTCCATATGATTACCAGAATCTTCAGTATTGAAACTTAAATAGTAAGGGTTAAATATACAAATGCTTACGTTATCATCATAGCATAATGATTTTTGAGCAAGTAGGCTATAAATAAAAGCTATCAGAAGTCAATAATTTCACATGTTCTCATTGCCAATAGGGCTATCACCAAATGTTATAGAAAAAGTAAATTTGGGAATATACCTAGTCAGTAGCATATCCGCCTCATGTGTTTTTTCTCGTTCAATATTCTTCACGATAGCAGGTTGCACGACCCTAAGAATATATAAACCAATAACAAAATTAACAAAGCTTGCATGATGCTAATAATAATAATTGTTAAATACGCGCAATTTACTATAAAATCTCGACAGTACCACTGAAATAGAAACAGTATTCACATACTAAAGCGATGCATGTAATAGTATGATATTGCACGACATAGAATTATTTTGGTAAGCTATAACTTACTTTCTGACAGTTAAAAAGTCGGTTACGGTATTAAAAGACAGCTTTAAATATTTCTGCGTAATACCCGCTAAATGATTCGGCTGAAAGAAAATTTACGAGAATTAAACGAAAATTTTAAGATGACTGTGGCTTCGTTTTATTTTTAATCCTTAACTAGTAAAAATATTTTAGTGTTGATATCAAATAGTCTTTAAAGTCAAGATAACTAGGCAGCACTATATCCTTAAAATCCAATTTATATGGATTTATTATAACTATGAGATTTCATTCATTATCATTTCTTACTGCAGAGATCAGTAGCACCGGTCATATCAAATCGACATCTAAATGCACGTATAATTTATTATTATTATCATTAAATATTACTAAGTTTAGTTCTTCCTTTGAGATGATATCAACTGTTGTTAAAACTCCAGAGAATCTCTTTAAAAGATACGACGCAACTTCTGCTTCTGTGTCCTACAGTATTAAATCATTAATAATTGTGAGCTCTTTAATTTTTTTTCCGAAATAACAGCTTAAGATATCTACGATACAATATGTATTCCATTTAAATTCATGTACACTAATTTATCCGTAGTCTTCTATTCTATAAAACAATACATTATCGGCAGTGACATAGAATATTGCCCTTAACACTTTATCAAGGTCTTGCCATTATATATAGGTATTTTTCAAAAGTAACATTTCAATGGCGTAAGCAAATATGACAAGTAGCAATAAAAGCCCTTGCAAATGCTATTTCAATAGTATATAATCAAATAAGATAGCATATTATAATCCTCAGTAGTTGTATAACTAACGAAGAAATCTACTACTGAAACATTTTCATTAATTTCACACTTTACACTGTAGACTAAACTTTTGCCAATAACTAAGATTTTGCAATATTTGTAATGATGAGATATTACTGTGAAGGCACGAATAACATTTCATAATAATGGCATAATCAGTGATCATTAATCACCATTTTTAGCGTATACAGCCTTATGTAATCTTACGCAACTACCAGATTATCGGTTATTATTTAAAAGCCAGCAACATTTCATTGTGAAGTATCAACTAAACATAAACATGTTATCAACTTCAGGTCTTACGGTATGAAGAGTATATTTTATACCTTCTTGACTGCCACGTAAAAATATGGCTTGTATGGCATGGTAACCTAAAGGAATTGATTCATGTAAACATTCAACGTTGCATATAAGTAAAGCAGAGTGTACTGTACCCGCGCACTGAGTACTTCAAAAATTAAGATAGTAGTACACATACTACGGTATACTGAAAGAAATTGCTTTTCATGGCAATCGTATATGTAGATACCTTGAAACGGCTTCCATCTTCTTCCACAAAGTAATAATCAACCGCACTAAAGATTCTTTCGTTATCATCAATGAGCTCCGTCTAAACGTTTACGCAAAATTAGGTTAATTTGCCATTCTAATTTTTAACTAACAGTAATAGTACTACGTGGAACTACTGTAGAAACTCTAAAATCTCTTTCATATAACGTAGTACAGCAGGGTATAGTATAACCGAAGTGGATTAGTACTCTACTAAAGCAAATAATGTAGCTACAGTATGATTGCAACGATTAAAATTATAGCATGCCTATAGAATGCAACGAAGCATGAATACGATCTGATACCGTAAGCAAAATTTGTTTAAATATAATTTAGAAACTCATTGAGACATAGAATCAGATAAAAGTGCGCATTTATGAGTATATTAATTCTTAAACTATTTATCAATACTGCAATAATGAGTAAATAAGCATACTATCATCGAATAAAATCATCGTAATAAGAATCAATATAGAACATTCGTTAAAGTTACTGCTGAGCATTATCTAGAATTAATGCTTTAGTGAGTAATCAGCAGAACATGTTCACGTTAAGTATGCATCAGATGTAGAGAATAATTCAACAAAATAGGAGCGTTATATGGTAAAGTTGTTTACTGAATGCATGTTGATCAGCCATCCTAGACGTTCTCGATTATCCTTGCATTGTTCAAAGCCAAATTTGGTATCCAACTTGTCAATATCTTCTAAATACTTACGCTTACCAACCACAACATTTTCTCTAGCAATAAATAAAAGGATGTTAAATGACAACCTCATTTATTCTTAAAAATACAGTACCATCATAAAATCCTACCGTTTCATAATAATAATCTATAAGTCTATAATTGTTCACAGATTCATAAATGATCTAATCTATGTACAGTACATAAAGTGAATGGCAAGAATACTTACTTCGGCGTACGTGTCGTATTTGATACCCTGTTTTTCGAATTAAACTTCCTTCGATACATCTCTACCGATTTCAGTTAGTTGTCGTTTTTTAAGATCAATTTTAACTCTGAGTCAATATAAAGATGATCTTTATTTAATGTTTACGAGATGATTTACAGTATAAGGTATACGTAAATTTCTTCAAAAAATCACTTCTTCAAGAGGTTGTGCAACTCCATTTTTTTATAAATAAATTGAGATCATTCATTGACTGGTGCCACTGTGCCGTGCTGCATTCAGCCTCTACTATATAGTACTCTACGTTACGGTCAGTCAGTTGTACTGTACTCACTATGCAACTGCACAGCATACAGTACGTAATGAATTTTTGGCGGGAAAATTTGTAAGACTTGTACTGTACATTATTGATAGTCTTATTAGTTGTTACAGTACTATCGAGGTCAGATCTTTGCATTCTACAGTATTCTGCAGACCACGACCACTGACTGACCAGACCACCAGACTACAGTATGAAGACCCCTATCTACAGTACAGTATCACGGTACGTCGTACTGTACTGTACACTATAACTAAACTGTTAGCGATTCCATAAACCAGGCAAGAAAGCCGACATTACCGATAGTCAACATTGCAGTTATGAGTCATCTCTCATTTTAAAAGACTTTTTTAGTGGTGACCATGTAGTCATGTACACTACTGTATCCTACATTATAATGGAGCTAATTGAACGGGTATAATGACTAGTTATGATTTTTGTTAAACTGGGGTGCCTAGACTGCATACCAACTAAATGCGAAATAATTACAATCAAATTGTAGTAAATAACGATTTACTTTTATTACAGTTTTACAGCTTCTTAGAAATATTACTCTCCTATACGAGTACAGTACACTTGATTCATCGTGCTAGTTAATAATAATAATTCAATTAATATATAATTACAGACCAAAATGGACATTTTTCTTGATAACCAGAATTACTGCAGCATGTTTTTGTTACTTATTATTTGTTCTGTTGTGAATTATTTATCACTAAATGCACCAGCGTGCAAATAATTAACTAATGACTATATACAGTAGTTACCAGTGTCCTACAGCACTGAATGTTAATTTGAAAAGGAATATAATAAGAGGACGGCTGAGCGATTTTAACTTTGAACATTAAAAGTAACAGCAACCTGAGATTATTGCGCTTTTAATTTAGGTACGGTACTAACAACTTTAATAAGAGTTAATTACGGTAATGCGGTAACGAATTACTAAAGTAATAAACAAATGTACGGAATGAGTTTACTAAACACGATACAGTAATGCGCTGTCATAGTGCAGTGATGTAAAAAAAACGTGAAACACCAATCAAGCTAAGTGAAGTGCGCGCACAGTAGTATGAGTGCATTATGTTAAAAAAAAGTTAAAAAGTTTTCGTCGACACCGCCCCCATTCTGCGATTTGTATAGCACAGTATACAGTACTTGATGATGCCGTTTCTATTTACTTAACGTTTATAGTTGTAAAAGTAATTACTTTGATATGCAAATATATCTCATTGATATGCTGTGCTAGTATGCTGAACTTACTAACATACAGCAGTATATTTGTTTAACATACTATCGTGCAAATCCTACTTTTCTGGTAATATCTGTCTTCAAGTGTCTTGAGTATAGCTGAGAGTTTTATAATCTCGAGCTTAAAAAGCTCCATTTGGTTTGCAATACTGTACTGTATGTGTTGCTAATAAAAACGTAATGAGTCATGACTATGACGCATGTGGTGTACACTGTAAACTCAGTGTACGGTACGGTACGCATACATGTGGATGGAATGGGAGAGCTTTAATTTAGAATGGTACACGTCAAGAATAAAATAGACTGTAATTAATAAGTAAATTAATTATGCTTACTGTATTTATGCGCCATCATTTGGGGGCATTATTATTCATTAAAAGCTTCCTCCATGATAACCACCTATTTCGCTTTCTAACCCCTAACCCTAATTAATTATTTTGATTTGGTTTGCAATATGTGTTGCTAATAAAAACGTAGTGAGTCATGACTATGACGCATGTGGTGTACACTGTACACTCAGTGTACAGTACGGTACGCATACATGCGGATGGAATGGGACAGCTTTAATTTAGAATGGTACACGTCAAGAATAAAATAGACTGTAATTAATAAGTAAATTATGCTTACTGTAATTACGTGCCATAATTTGGGGGCATTAATTATTCATTAAAAGCATCCTTCATGATAACCACCCATTTCGCTTTCTAACCCCTAACCCTAATTAATTATCCGTATGATTATAATAATGCAGTATGTAATACTTGCGTGTACCATAGTCTGATCATTACCCTACTAATCTGCTTCAAACATTCGAATGTCCAGGCGTGGTGATGGTTATTTAGATTACTGATAACTGAACCGTTATCTCTACGATTAGCTTGTTTAAACTAATGAATTAGATGTTACAGTATTTTATTTTTTTATCTTGCCTATGCCAATTCATTACAGAATAGTGTAGTTTTACGATATCACGTACATACTGCATACTTGACCCCGGATCTCCATGCTTCATACCCGTACAGTACACTGAGTGAAAGCAACAAGTTGAAAGTGATTCGCTGCTATAGTGTACAATTGTAATTAGCTAATTAGAAAGGAGTCCGGTAACGTGATCCAAAAATGTTTCCTTTCAGCAAATTTGATAAGAAAGACTCTCGTGAATTTTATCCAAATGTTAATCATGAATTCGAAAAGACTAGCACTTATAAAGCATACGGCGATTTACAAGTCAACGTCGATGATTCATCGGATGAAGAAGAAGTCGATAGCAAAATTGAAGGTTTCTCTGTTAATGAGCAATGGGCAAAATTTATCAACGAAAAGTATCAGGATGTGCTGAAATGTCTAGAAATCCAGGATGACCGACAAAATAAAACTGCAATTTTTTTGTCCTTTATTGTCAATGCGATTGGAACTTACTTACTTTACTCTCCTCAAATAACACGAGCCTATTATTTAGATAAAAGCATCAACTTAGGCAATAGTCAAATTGCGAAGCGTAGCGAAATCTGGGAAGGAATTAAAGGTATTGTACGTAGTGCAATTAATTCAAGTCTCGCAGTAATTGTTGATGAAAGTTTCAAGACAGTCACTGATCACGAATTGGTAGATAACATCGATTCCGATGAGACCAAGGTTATTGTGGAAAGCATCTTAAGAGAGGCAGAAAAGGATATGACAACATTTGCCAAATTGTTAAGTGTTAATCGCGAACTATATAAAAAAGATGGTATCAAATCGGAAGTTGTCAAAATGAATAATGAGCTTCAATTGTTAATTTACAATACTGCTGATATCGCTAATATAAAGATTTTAGATGCAGCTAAACGAAATAATAAAGGGAGTAGCAGTGTAGAAGATCTACTTAATGAAAGTACTGAGAAGTATCATCGCCGGCGAACGCGATTAAATAGTGTAATTTCTAGAAATATCGTCCGTAAAAGCAGGCATGAAATTATCGATCGTGATCGCTTATTAACGGAGGTAGAGAGAAAACTTGTTGAGCTGTTACAACGTAATCAGAACAATCTGATGACCAATATCAAAGTAAGAGATACGATTGATAACAATTTTCAGTTCCAATTTTACGATTATGCCGATATGCTTGTAGCTGTGCGATTGCATAATAGATCACAAAAGCGAACATTACGAAATACGCAGCAAGGGTTGCTGAATGATCGCGCCATCATACCAACTATAGGAACATGGAATTTTAGGAATGGTCTATCGGCTCAAGGTTGCGAAGTTATAAAGCGATCTAATTACAAAAGAGTAAATTTAACGTTGGCTTATGCGATTAGATCATACGAAGGCATTAGATATGAAATTGAAGACTTAAAAGAGTACTATCTACCAGAAGAAATAACTAGAAACTATTGGGATATCTGCATCGCTATGTGCATAAGGTCAACCGTTAATGGTCGCGGCGTGCTACTATTAGAGAATTCAGACGTTAGTAAGGTGGCTATTAGAAGAATAAAAGATTTGATTGCCCGTTTAGCTTTAACCATGTTTGGTTATGAGGCTGCCCGCTGTCCTAGTACAATTATTACTCATCAAATGATATTAGATTTGATTATTGATGGTAAATTGACTTGGCGAGAAGCATTAGATGGCAAAATCAAATCCCCAAGTAAAGGCGGTTACCTACCGATGTCAATGGAAAATGCAGGAAATCTATGTCGAAATATTTATCTTAATTATTACCGTCATTATATGCCATATCCCTATCGCTTTGAGGGTGCAAGTACAATTTATAACGTTGAACATTTAGTTGATTTCTTGCATCGAGAAGGCGAAATTATTGACATGTGGTTAGAAAATGTATCAAGTGAAAGGGAAGAAATATCCGAATTGACATTGCCTACGAACATAGCATCCGTAATTTCATCAAAGGCTGAGGCTTGGTGGCGTAACGGTTTACAACTACATTTAAACTGATCTTTATGAGTAATTACAAAACTAAGAAAATATCATTTTGAGAGGATACATCATACACGGTTTATCTACTGTATTTTATCTGTTATATCGGTCATTGCTTATAGACAATACAGTATCATTTGTATTGTGAAGATACTATCTAATCCCGATGGAGTCACTTGTCGCAACACTTTCGTAAGTTATTAGACGCGATGTATCCAAGAAAGCAAATATGAATACATACTATATAAAAATAGTATTTTTCTTGCAAAACAAGATACCCATAATCGAAGTCTGTCATAGAAATCGTAGATTTCTAAATGATTACCTATTGTGCTACTGTTAGATGCTCCAATACAAAATTGAGTAACAATATACAGAGTTGTTCTTATAACTGCAAGATATTAAATAGGTTTAAAAGTAAAGATATATATTCAGTTGCATTATCTATAGCTTTAACAAAAATTATGGACGCGTTCATGCTAATATTGGATGTAAAACATGAATCAATTTCGTAAAGAACATGCAGTATGAAATCTTACTCAAATTAAATATACGAAAACGCTTCTTAATATCTAATTACTTTTTTAACATGCTAAATGATAACAAAATATTTTTTAATCACCTTATACCACCTGGCATATTAGATAAAACAAAATTCATAAATTCCTGTTGTATCGATTGCGCTCTGGCTGCAGATTTTTATATTAGACTGCGAAATACTAAATACACTTTTAACTGTTTAAAGCGTTATCTTGTATTAATGATTTGCGATAACAATTTTAATAAACTTGTTGCTGTTTTTGGAACGAGTATTATTTCGGTACCATATTATAACGACTTTTATATCATAAGAATTGACCAGATACATGGAGGTAGCAAAAAATTGTTCTGTTGCTGTAACTATTGAATGTTTGATTAGATTAGCTAAGTTAGGAATAACTACGTCTGTCTATATAATATACTTTTTTATTCGTTTACAAAGTCTTTGAGTGAATACTTTATTTTTAAAGTGAATATAAAGATGCTTCTGTGCGTACAATAACTCTTTTAAGTCATATAAGGAATGCGACGTAACGCCTTTTCACAGAATTCGATGGTCTCCAAGTACAGAATTTGTTAAGATAGTAAAGTTAATAAGCTGATGCAACAGTCAGTAGTTTTCAATTTCAAAAATTTCGGATGCTATTAATTATATTATTAATCAAATATTGAAATGAACAGATAGTGAAATAACAGCTGTTATCTATGCACTTCTCCAGAATACTTACCTAATTTTTATATCGAGAGCATCTAAAGTACAGACCAACCCAAAATACAGTACACAAATTAGCAACCTAACAAGTTCTATTCAATATCAGAGAATCCTCAAAACAAGCGGGATCCATTACATCATATACATATTTTGCAGTCGAATTTTAACATATTACTGTCCTTGCACTACAGAATCTAGATATTCCAGATATACAGCAGCAAAAGTAACGTCAAGCTGTAAAAAAATCGTTTACGATATTCTAAAATGTTTCTAGAGTAAATTATAGTTTTCTAGTTACTTTATCGTACTATAAAGAATGCATTTAAAGCGATATTCTATTTTAGTGACAATTACATAAGTACGTTATACAGTATTAACGTAATATTTTCCTAGTGAGTTTGACATCGATCATTTCATTACTTTAACCTACTTAATAACATATTGATGTCGTTTTATGTAGTATATTGCTATAAAATAAAGTAATTATGGAAATGCTCATATAATACTGTAGTATACATATTAAGCAGTACTCTTATACATGAGATACAAATATCCGGGATATAAATTAAAACAGTTAATTAATACATTTAATTTTATTCTTTAGCGAGTAGATACTAGGTAAACAATCAAGGATAAGTCTCATCTAAAGAATTTATTTAGTAAATTCGTACAGGTTCTACTTTCTGTAGATTGTCATCTAAAGAGCTTAACATCCGCAATTGCCATCACTTGATGATACTTCAGGTTTATTGGATGACAATTTTCGTATAGTACCATCGCCGTACTGGATTCCAGATCCTACTCGATCAGGGTTTAACTCACCTGTTTTACGAAAAAATTTTAAAATTTAACCGAAAAGCTACATCACCTAATAAGCCTATCTACAGAATAAGAAATTGGAGTGAAAGAATAAGGCATTTACCAGACTCAATTCTAGTTAAAATATTTTTTGAACATCGCAGAAATGCCTCTTCGACATTTTCTCCAGACAAAGCGCTAGTCTCAAGAAACATTAATTCTACAAATAATAAATTAAAGAGTGTTAGCAAGTATGAAATAGGATCATTTCAATATGGGATACGTAAAAATAGTATTTGCTGGACGCAACGAAACAATTAATATGAACATAAAACTTCAGATCTCAATTAGCAATACTAGATAATCATTTTAGGCTTCGCCAAATATCATCAATGTTATAAACAAAGTAAACCTTCGTACATTTGATCTTCGCGTAATTTATGGTGATGAAAGTAAATATTAACGATGTACTTTTATTTATCCTCTAAAAGAAGATGTAATCTCAAGTTTCTTCCTTTCGGGCATAACTTACCATTCTCTTGAGCAAATCTACTAGCTTCCAAAAAAGTAACTTCCCTTTCAGATTCTAGATCTTTTTTATTGCCAATAAGAATTATGACTATTTGAGGGCTGGCTAAAGTTCTAGCATCAGTTAACCACGCTCCCAGAGCATTATAAGAATCTCGACTAAATATATTGATTGATATAAATAATATATAATTAAGCACACAAGTTACAATGCTATAAACAGTGATGGCCATACATAAATTTAAAGGCAGTATAATCTATCTTCATTACATAAAATAATGAACTTACTTCGAGATATCGTATACTAGCAAAGCTCCAGCAGCGCCTCGGTAGTAGCTTTTTGTAACGGATCTACATTGGTAGAACAAAAATTTTAGGATATCAAGACTAGTAAATCCTAACAGCTTTCATTTTCATGTTGGCAATATAGGAAGGATTACGATCATTAAAGTACCTGAATCTCTCTTGACCTGCGGTATCCCATATCTGCAACTTAACCGTTTTGTTAGAACAATTGATAACTTTCGATCCAAATTCTACACCGATGGTGTGGCTGGAATCTTGTTTAACTATAATAATTAATTAATGAAGATAACAATTGAGACCATTCCCACAAGGAATATTTTAAGACACTAAATAGGTTGCTTCTACTAAGATAATTTATTGAAGAATATACAATTGTAGTATGAGTACGATGATTACAGTAGACATATAATCATGAAGTAGCTGGTATATACACAAATTATGATTGTATACTTCACTAATATAGGGAAAGGGAAGACAGTAGGTAATGTGCTAGAGCAGTATTATGAAGGATATAACATCATAAAAGTCACTTTCATACAACAAAGCATTATTATTATGGTTAATTAAAAACTTGCTATCGCGCATCAATACACAGTTATTATCTATGATCAAGAAAAGCCTTGCAGGCTATCTCAGAAAGATCTATTAATTTCGTATTACAAGGCTTTGCTTCATAAATCTTACACTGAATAATAAAATTTTATTTCGAACCCGCTATACTTACCTGAAGATCTTCAATTACATCAATTATAGTTAGCTGTAAATGTATACATCTTCCTTACGTAGTGATGCTACCGTAATTACTACTCTGCTAAATAATGAAAAGCTATTGTAGAGGATAACTGGTATAATATTTGTTATTAATAGTAGCTTACATTTGTTTTCTATAAACTGATGGAGAAGACATGATTTACCAGTACCAGCACTACCAATGATTAAAAATTTCAACAGGAAATCTATCAGAGTAAATATAAGATAAAAAGATAATCAAAGTTGTTAAAGGAAAAATTCAGATCGAGTTTACTAATCGAACTAATACGTAGTCTATATAATTAATTAAATATGTAGATTCAAAATATCAAATGTTTGCTAAACATTGGATATTCAGTATTCAGTTATCACTATCAAGTTACTGCTATAGCGATACAATTACCCTTATTAATAATCACTTATTGCACTATAATATAATAATAAATAATGATCTTAAAACTGTTTTTGAGCCATCATGTTAATACCTATTAAATTCCTATCGATATAGTAATAAACGATCGGCGTATAATTGTAATCTAATCTGATTAAATCAATACTAAAATCGTTGATAAAAGCGTAATGTTAATATCTCTTTTCTTCTAATCGCGTCACTCCAGTTCTATATAAAAAGAATACTATAACAGAACCAGGGAACCGTAATATGTTTACAAAGCTTCGCTTCTGAATAGTCAACTGCAATTTTTAACGATTACCGTCAGCAGATACTCAGCACGACTGCATTTACTACTGTATCAGAAGTATAACAGTACTGAGTGCATACTACAAATTATAGTGTAGCAATCAGTCATAAAGGAGAATGTTCAGATATACTGTTCGCGTATTCAGTAAAGGGGTTTATAAAATTGTGTCTTAGATTTATCAGATTCTTACTCCCATGTGTCAAAATATCCTGCACTACAAATCAATTCCAGTAATCGAATGATAAACTTAGAGTTAAAACATGGTTAAAACTTAAAAAGCTAAAAGCACGTTAGTACCAGTCAAAGTCTTAATTACGTAATTGAATGCGCGCATACAAACTACATTACACAGTACATATGCAGTACATAAGTACAGTCACCGTGACATATATACTGTATACTGTGCAATACCGTAACTCTCCGATGCCATTTAGAATTTCCGATTAGCAAAGGAATTCGTCGATGTATGATTGCATATACTGTACAGCTTATAGAGTCTACTAGGTCTTTTCTTTTTCTTTCGTCAATGTTAAGTTAAGCACCGTAATCGCTTATAAACTCAAATTTTCCGCTCTGTATTTCTCTCAGCTTATGTCAGCAACTTCATGTACTGTATGCAGTAAAGACACAGATGCAACCGTATACATGTAGATCCACTGCTACGCATTCACAAGCCTATAACAATAAGAAGAGCAATAATTGACCAAAAAATTAAATGAATACAACATACTATCACTTATAAAGTGTGCATTTAGAATTTTGTAGCAGGGCAGAAATGGACAGTTAACTCACTCGAGCATTAACGGCTAGCGACTCCAGCAAATTCTCGAAGGTTCTTGCTTTCGACGGATTGCTTTAAGTGCAGATCTTTAGTACTCAGCAGTGCTACTTTAAACTGTACCGTACCATGACTGAGATAGCGAGCTTTTTTTCTGGGATTGCTCAGGGTGGGATATTAATTAATTAATTAATTTTTAGGGGAATTTTTTATTTGAGAGGTCCCTGGCCTATTGCACATTGTAGTGTATGATACTGTACTGTATACTGTACAGTGTACATTTGTACAGTACGTATCCTCAAGTTACAGTACACGGGTGAACAGTGTACTGTACTGTACAGTGTAAAGTACTGTAGTTATATTAGTACGATGACAGAAGGCTCATTCATGATCGTGACAGAGCGTCTGATTGTCTGAGCCTCCTCAAGACTCATGCGAAGTTCGAATGCGATCAGATCAGATCTGATCTTTGAATGCTTTGATAACATACACTACTGTACTGTACTACATGTAGACTTAACTGTGCAGGTAAAAAAGGTAGAGTCTGAGGCACGTGATCTTTTGTAAACAGTAGATCTTACTCATACGAAATCCAGTGGTTCATTGGCATACTGTAGACGAGGCTCATTCCGAACTCCGATTGACCTTTTTGAGGAATACAACTACAACTAAGACTAGCGTAGATTTTTCTTTTTTTTCCTTTTAATTTGGCAAAAGTGGGCTAAAGTATCATACATCGAATTGATCCGTGTACTGTACTGTGACTGTACTCATAAACGCATACACTACATCAACAATAGGATTGTATGGAGCACTGATACACTCACTATACAGTACCGTATGGCTTATTATAGTACAGAGTACTGTACTGTATTTCTAAAAAGTGATCGCTATTTTAATTTAGCACGGGGCTAGATCGGCATATATAAAAATACTGCATTACTACTGATATAAATAAATTAAATTCTTTTGCAGTGATAAAGATGAAGAAGTGCCTGTTCAACCTGGTTTAACTGAACACTTCGATCGATCTCGAATAACGCTACATACGTAGCAACACAAACATTGATAAATAAATAACCCACTCACTGATAATATGCTACAGTAAGCCGTCCTAACACCTGGAAGTCTTAACATTAACTATTCTGTGTCATACTGTAGGTACAGTACTGTACTGCGTTAATCTTAGCATTTTCGAAATATCAGTTATGTACAAGTGCTGCACTGATCCTTCTTTAGTAGCCTCTGCTATAAGTCTGTAGCTAGTTTGTACAGACTGCATGGACTAGTATGGCTGATAATATGTAATATAATGTAATATAATATATGAATACATATGTATGTATACTGTATATATGTTATATTATAATAATCAGTGAGTGAATTTACTCATCAAAGTTTGAGTTACTACAGTAAAAAGTATAAGCACAAACAGCACGCGAAGTGCGAACATGGGTTAAAAAAGTAATTACATAGTACAGTACAGTAATCAGTAATTGCATACTATAAAATCGACCAGAGGACTAGCCAATCAAAAAACATATTCCATTAACAGTATCCCATCCTATACGCGTATTCCTATCAGCGCAGTAACAAACTAAATAAGACAGTAGAGCTGCTTCACTGACAGAGATACCATAGCCTTTTCAATTTCGTAGGCAACTAAATAATAAAATACAAAACTACACCACGATCCATTGTTCAACGCTAATTATAATTATATAATTTTGGTTAATGTAATTGTAATGAGAGCCATGAGTAGCTGCTAAATTTAGTACTGGCTGTAATTCATGTCACTCCTTAAAATTTGAATTGTGTCACAGTAATTTTACCTACAGAGTACTGATACTGTAGAATGCTTGATCGGGTCCAGAAACTCAAGTCCCGTACTCAACCTAATACAACCCGATAGCGAGTTGAGTCGAGTTAATATTGCTTTTCGGGTTCGAGCTGGATCAAGCTGTCAATCTCGTGTTTTGCAGCTCCGCTATATACTGTCTATATTAGTACGATATTACTAGTGACTTATTGCACTATATAGTTACACCTATTACTACAATAGAGTAGTAGACACAAAAATGCTTTATTTGTTATTTTGGCTTACGCAAGAAGTCTCACAGCCTTATTGCATTGCTTGTACAAATATACAGTATGTTGTCTCAGATTGATATGTGCTTATTATAAATCATATGTACTTCAAATTGGCTTTATTATTAAAAATGTTTAAGGAAATCATACACATCATTCTATTTGATTAGAAATGGTATATGTTAATGATCAAATTTCTCCTATTCTATACTAATTGAAAGTTATGCTACTTGGAATGTGCCCATAACGAGATTAAAATACTGCGATATACTCATACATAAATGATGGATCTTGAAAGCCGTATAAAGAGGTAGGTTTCGAAAATTTTGCATTTTCTTACCGATCTATGCATATTAAATACTACAATTATGTTTAGTGATTACGATACACTATGACGAACTATTTAATTCTATCATGCATATATAATCACGTACATTCTATACAAGTATGATTTAATGCGAATTCACCTATTATTTTAACTAGAAAATATTTTGATTGCATTTTTAATACCGTATGTATCATATACAAATGATTTATTCATCAATAGGAAACCTAAAATTCAGAAACTTGATGAAGACTCACGAAATCAAATCGCTTCACAATTATGTATAAATACATTTAGCCAATGTATTGAAGAATTAGTTTTGAACAGTATAGACGCAAAATCGACTCATATTTTGATAGCGGTGGATCCAAATCGCTTAAATGTTGAAGTATGTGATAACGGTGATGGAATAGATTCCGAAAATTTAAGATTCGTTGGTCTACGGCATTATACCAGTAAATATGTAACTAGAGCTAATTTACAAGCACCTCACTCTATCGGCTATCGCGGTGAAGCTGTAGCCAGTATCTGTAGCATAGCTAAAATTGTCGAAGTGCAAACCAGATCGATAACATCACGAAATACTTATACTAAAAAATTCGTAAATGGTCTTTCAATTTCCGATGAGCCAACTGTAGCGGAGAAATCAAGAAACTATATTGGCACAACTGTAACACTGACTGATATATTTTATAGCTTACCAGTACGATATCATAGGACAACTACCATGTGGGATAGGGAACGTCATATTATTAAACAGAAGTTAGAAGCCCTCGCTATAATTTATTATCAAATTACAATTATACTTAAAAACCAGGTCAATGGCGTTATTTTACTAAAAAGTCACGAATGCTGTAATCTAGCTGCATCGATTCAATGTTTGTACGGTATAACCATAAAACGAACTCTTCAAAAGATGGATTTCAATAGCGATAACTTTCAACTTAGTGGCTACATCGATACTATTCACAGCGACAACAATTATAATAGGTATCCACAATATATCTATCTCAATGGTCGCTTAATGCATAAAAATGTTATTTATGATGAATTAAATCATACTCTATTGGTCATTTTTAAATTAATTAATCGACATCGAAAAAAAATGATGACACCCAATCATTCATCAAACTGCCCACAAATTGCTCGTCTAAGTAGATTATCGGATTGCTACATGTACATCATTCACATAGTATGCCCTATTTCCGAATATGTTGTATTGGAAACGAGTAGTAATAAAATTCAGTTTATTCGTCAAGATATTGTCCTTTCTGGTATCAAAAAATTATGCTACCAATATTTCACCCAGAATTGGTGGATGACGCCAGAAGAACTGCACTACTTTGAGAAAAGGATCTATACTCCGTTAACATCACGGTTGACAAAACGTCCTAAATTAACGAAAGATTCTTGTGAAATAACTGCAATTAATGGCAACAAACAAAGTAGTTATAAAGGTAACATCACCAGTAATAAGGATACTCCCAATATTTTATTGGAGCATATGAAATCAGATACTGTGCGTCGTCAATGTCTTTCCCGAGACACAATTACTCCGTGGAATGGTATGTTATGTTATTCAAACTCTATCAAATATGCAGTTGACCTTTCCATACATGTGTTTAAACTTAACCTTAAAAATGTTTGCTAATAGTTTTTAGGAACTTATTCTAAATTTTTATTTCAAATTATTAATTCAAATTTCGTTGTTAATTGCAGCGAAAACTTCTATCAAAAGCCATTTTCAAAATCTCCAGTATGATTGCTACAAACAAACAAAAAGTTATTCAGAAAAAAAGATTTTGAAGTTGAATCAAATTCCACGAGAAAAGATACTACAAAAGTTTATTAGTACTGATCTGGCGGGAAAAGCTGATATAATATGTGCTCAAAACGATGAAAATTCGTTATATCAATACAAAGATTCATCGAATAAGAAATTCATCATATCTCCCTCATCAAATAAAAATATTTCTCACCTAATTTTATCTCAAAATGCTAGAGCAAAGTGTTTGAAAACATTACGCTTCAAACGTAAGATTATAAGCCCAACGAAAAATGTAAATGCGATTCCACAAGCTAGACCTCTCACGAAAAATCTTATGAAAACGAATGGAATTGCTAACAGTAATGTTCGATCAAGTTATAAAATTAAAAGATCACACATACTTTACCAATCTCAAATGGCAAATTACAATCTATCACAGCAGGTAAAAAATCTTTAGCAATACCTTGAATTAAACGGTATAGCAAGCTATATTTTGTGAGAACTATAATCAATTTGCTTATGAGTTTTTAGGTGTCATAAAAAAGCATTTCTGACTCTTAAGTTTATTCTTAAATATCACTTCTATTAAAGAATTCAGGTTCAGCAACGAGCAGATTATCTGCTTTCAAAGAATTTACCAGTGCGACAATAGCTTTAAAACTAACATCATCTACATTGGATAACTGCCAAGTAAATAAGTTAATAACTATTTATCGAATGCTATTGAGAATATGCATTCGTACTATAATTTTAATTAGTAATTAGTACAATTTAATTTTTTTTGTAGGTTATTGGTCAGGTGGACAATAAATTCATTGCATGTGTGATAAAAGGTTAGGAAATGAGAACATCTGCACCGAATTAATTCATTTTGCTTTATTGAACTGAAGATAATGTAATTTGAGCGATAGCATCTACATATATTGCTAATTAGCTATGATCTAGCAGCATACTGCTGCATTGTACTTTTTATTAGGCTATATTAACTATATAGCACCGTACTTTCGTCATTTAGCAGGTGATAATAAGGAAAATTATCTTGTGCTAATCGATCAGCATGCCGCTGATGAAAGGATCAGGCTTGAAAAATTGCTGACAGGTTTAGTATCAGCCGTAATGCAGGCATAGATTAAGAAATAGTTTGTAACGCAAAACACATATATGAATATCAGTAATAATACAACGTAATGTCTTTAGTTTTACGTTAAAAAGCTGTTATGATTCTTTATTAACGACTAATAGATTATTGTCAAAAGCCGGAGGAAGGTCTACTATCTGTAAATGTGAGGCCACCTATAGCACATATCACTAGCCATAATATATTCAGCGCAATCCATAATTCCAGAGATTCATTAAGACGATTAGGAATTCAATTTTTAAGCAAGTTTGATGGTAAAACCACAGAGATACTATCAGTACCGAAATTGTTAATACCTAGCGGAGTTCTCGATAAACAGAAGTTAAAAGTTAGTGATATCAAGACAATTGATTCGAAAGCTGTCGACATCGGATTATTAAAGGTTGGAAAAATTAACGATATGCCACTATATTTTAAAGGTTTTAAATAAATATTTAAATCCTGCATTGCTTAAATATAGCTTAACATTTTGATAGTCATCTCTTCGATAATAACCTTACTGTGGTCTACATTACTTTGATTTAATGCAACAAACAAAAAACTACGAAATTATACGGCGATATCTTCAATTCTAAGGAAATCTTAACGGAACATGTCCAGGTGCAAGCAATTCTCTTAAAATTGTTAATTTAATATTGATCTCATATTACTTGCTATTTTAAAAAGTGTGGCAGAATTATCTCGGCATTCAATCTGTCATCAAATGGTGTCATTAAAAGAATTCTTTGCTCCAAAGCCTGCCATGGTTCGCTATGTAGATACAATAAACAATATACAATATATAGATCTATAGTGATTGTTAGTGTTCACCACTTTCACTAACTTAATTACATGGTATATGATATATTTTATCACATTTGGCTGATACGTAAAGGTGCCATTCGTTTTGGTGATGAACTATCATCAGAAACTATTACCAACATGATTCGCCAGTTATCCAAGTGCAAGTTACCTTTCCAATGTGCCCATGGCAGGTAAATCCAAGCTAGCACAGTAATTGGGACAGACTATTTGTTTGTATATGTTGATTTAAAAATAGTTCATAAGAAATACTGTAGCAAAGCTATAAATTTGCTTTAAGGATAAAATTGCTCATAGTAATAGTTACGATCTAGTAACTATCTTAGTAGCTCGTAAATCAGTAATAGCCTTTAATAAAATATTGAATACCTGATAGTTCTCATTGATCGCGATACTAATACTTATGTTGATTTTATTAGGCCTTCTTTGGTACCATTACTAAGATTATCATGTCATTGTGATACAGAACCATAGTTTCCAGCTATTAAGATCACTAAGGAACAACCTTAAAAATTGCATTATTGCTGATACGGAACTCAAAATGTAGAGATATTTTAGGTATATAGTAGTAATGAATAAAAATGAAATACATATAATAGAAAGCTCGGTCGTTAATATATTAACATTATAGGTGATACTGTTGGTCCCTGTCAGTTATAAGCTGCGATAGTTGCAAGTTTTCTTGAATTGAGAGATTATAGACTGACTATTCATGATGTACGATGATGTTATTACTTTTAAGCTCGCTTTATACGATCAAGGATAAAATTTTTATATTAGCAGTAAATACAAAAATTTCACAGTATTCATCAACGAATCCAAGATTATAGTATAACAACCTCCAATATGGATCGTTGTACATACGCACTAGCGAAACTAACCACTACAATTTAAAGCCAAACAATTGCTATAAAATCAGGATATCCGGAAACAAGTTAACATTAAATGACATGTTCTAGTTGTAGATTGATGATTTCTAAATCAGAATCTACAGTTTGAGGTATATTAAACCAAAAATATTACCCCAGACACTACAAAGAGCAATAGTTGAAACAAAATTGCACATATTTCAGTTTTAACAAAAAATGACATCAAATGATAACAACAGGGTAGATTCTATTAAGGCTCTGATTGAATAGTTTTACGTATAATACCAAACTGGAATGACATTAGAGTGACATGTTTACACCGATACATAGTCTTAGGGGTAAACAAATATTTAAAAATGCTACTGTGGGTATCATTTAAACAGTAGATGAGTAAGTTTAAGCCATATCCACGGTCACTGGTTTTATGTCCCATATGTCCTTAGCATATTCATTAATTGTCCGATCACTAGAAAATTTTCCGCAATTAGCAATATTTAGCAGGCACATCCTAGTCCAGGCTATTCGGTCCTGATCGAGCGAAATTTGTTCATTTGTTAATATGAGTTATTAGATAAAAATACTCTTATCAAATTTCTTAATTACCAACCTTATAAGCTTCACTAACTCTCTCTTGACATTTCACATATGATTCATAATCAGCCAGTAAGCAAAACCTATTTTAAGAATTGTTTGTGAAACATTCAGAAAGGATTTACATAAATATACCATAAGCAGTAATATTATTAATAGGAGGCACACCTATCATGGTAAAGCAGTATATCAACAAGATCATGAAAGAGGTCTGGTTGTGTAGGAGAATAGACGCCGTCCTTGATTTGATCAATTGCCATTTTTAGTTCTTCATTAGCTTCGTAAAATTTTCTTGCATCATAGCTATTGAAATACAGAAAAACTGTTAATTACTCTATACCTATTTCTCATTGGGTCATATAATTGATACTTTAACATTACTCTATAAATATCATTTTAAATAGACATGCATACTAGTATAGCATACCCTTTACGCTTCAGACTTTCTACTTCTTTCACTGTCATTCCAAATATGAACATATTGTCTTCACCCATTTCTTCCAACATTTCGACATTAGCCCCGTCCAAAGTACCAATCGTTAAAGCTCCATTAGCCTAAAGAGTCAAAAAATTAACTAATTATAGTGATATTTTCAACAGCTACAGCCTCAATAACATTTAAAACTACCATAAATTTCATATTTCCAGTTCCGGAAGCTTCAGTACCAGCTGTTGATATCTATCAGAAATAAGCATAATACATTAACATACGAAAATCGTATAGTTTATCGGTTCTTCTAAATATCATACTAAAATAGGATATAATACATACCTGTTCGGAAAGATCAGCAGCGGGAAATACTGTTATCGTAAAACATAAGATCGCAAGGAGCATTAACATTTTCCGGAAATAATAGTTATCATGACGTGAATTACCTTTTTCCGCCACTGACACTTTATAGTTCTCGAGGAAGACAATTTTCAAGCGATCACCGACAATGGGGTCATTATTTATTACTGATAGTAACATACAACACACCGTTAACATCGATATATATAAAATTTCATAGATTATAGATTTTAAATTATTACTAGAACACTTACTTTTCGCAATGCTATTTATTAAAAGGATTATTTTCTTTGCAACATAATATCCAGGTGCAGCCTTTGTGATCAAAATGAATATATGATATGTATAATTAGTAACTTCCTTAGTTTTACACTAAATTAAGTTACTTGATAATTCTTTACCATCTAAGCTTAAAGATTGACATACCTTACCGCCTATCATAATGCTTCGTGGAACAAACGAAGCATTAGGATCTTTCTTAATACCTTTAGTAATCAAATTAGATGTAGTTAGTTCTATTCGTAAAGATAAACGAGAGGCAAATTCGTTTTTAAAAATTCCAAGAAAAATCTCACTGACGATTGTACAATGTAATCATATGGAGTGCATTCAACAGCTGGCGCTTGTATTCATGCAGACGTTTTACTTGGATATCGAATATCGAAGCAAGATTTAATTTAACCCCAAATGTGTCTTCAATGTATTTAGCAAAGCGCCTTTTGTTATCCTAAAAATAGTATTTTTTCAATTAAGTAACATAATATAGTACTAAAATACCTAATATTACATTTAAAACTTAATTTTCCTACTGCGTCAGTTAATATTGAAACAACATTTAATCCGTTTATAATAATAAAGCTTATTGTCATACCTGTTTTACTTGGTAAAGGGATTGCAAAAATGTTTTATCATTCTTGAATTCTTGAAGTTTCTTTAGCTCATATAGATTTATCTTCCAATCATCATTGATTTTCTAAGGGAGAATGAGATCAGGAGTGTGAGTAAATTTACAATGACCTCACGCAAAAACAAATAATGTGGATACCTCCGATATAAGATCTGACAAGCCTGGATTACATAAAACGATCCAACGTCGAGGGGTAATGCCATTTGTCTTGTTCTGAAACTTTTCTGGTGACAGCTCATAAAAATCCTTAAATCTAATATGGTAAATGTTTTATAAAGGTTAATTAAGGACATGAAGTAGTATATGATTCAAAAGTAACATAAATGACGATAAATTAATTAAAATACAATGCTGTACATATGCCTAATGACTACGAACATATCGTAGGTGTCCCTAAGACTTCTGTATTTAAGATAAAATTTCTTGCTATACAGTAATAACAAATCTACCGCCATACAACACTATCTTAACGGTTTCATCATAGAGAATAGCATATAACGTATTCATCACAAATTAATTATGAATTAAGTCATCGCATTGTTAGCATTATGTTTACAGCTTACACCAAGGATTTTAGTAATGATGAATGAAGTTCTGCAACCCCATTAATACTGTGTGAAGCGATGATAGCTAAAAACGCCATGTTGATTCGTTTTTCTCCTTCTTCCTCCACAAGAGACATTCTTTTAATTCGATCAAAGTCTCCGGGATACAATTTCGATATATTCTACATGAAATGAGTTAAAGAGTTACTTGGAACGCGTACACGTGTATATTATCTGTAATCGATGCGAAATATAAGGATATACGTAAAGTTATATAGATTAAGTAGAAATGTACAGCATACTTCTAAATGATGGTGATTAATTTTGTAAATAATCTGCAGATGACGTGGTAGGACATGTTCCAGCATCGATACAGGCCAACGTTCTAGTGCTTCAGGCAGTAGCGTATGATTGGTATAAGCAAAGGTACTATTGCATATATTCCAGGCCTGTAAAGTTTGTTGTGGAATAATAGTAAAGATCATACCTTTCAAATTTCAGTGGTATTGGTATTATCCTAATCCAAAGAGTTAAATTACCTTCTCCCAGGATAATTGTTCAATATCGACTAGAATCCTCATTAATTCCGGAATTGCAAGAGCTGGATGAGTATCATTAAGTTGTATTGCAGCCTGTAAAATATGATCATACACTTAGTTACATCAAAAATAAATTACGTTAGATATTTATATATATGCTAAATTGCCTTATTGGGGAATTCATCGAAGGCGATATCCTTTGCATGTATCGACCCGTAAGTAGACACTTTATATCTACGAACGATATCATGAAGGGTAGCAGCAACCAAAAAATATTCTTGTTTCAAGCGTAGCTCTTTGCCAATAAAAAACTTTCAAGAAAAGAGTGTTAAAAAGTAATACGCAGGGTGTATCACAACGATGTACAATTTTAACTTACGTTGTCATTGGGATATAGTACGCGGCTGATATTTTCGGCTAGATTACGATCACAGACAGCCTGTACGTAGTCTCCAGCATTAACTGTAATCAAGAAAAGAGTTATACGCTTTAATAGTATAATTTAAAGTTAAAAATTCATCATTACATACAGTGTGATAAATCGAAGTCTTTTGAAGATTTGCAAGACCATAGTCTAAGCGTGTTCACGGTATTATTATCGTATCCTGGGATTGGTGTATCATAAGGCATAGCCATAACTTGAGTCGTATCAACCCACTTGCAAACACCATCATGTTCTTCTACGTGTCCATAATAGTTTACTGGAATAATATATTCAGGCCTTGGCTTTTCCCATGGATTACCATAGCGCAACCAATCATCAGGCTCCTCAATCTAGATTTAATCGTCAGAAAATTTTTCAAGCTTAATTAGACAAGGGGAAAAGTAAGGATTGAAATAAGCTCATACTATAGGCAGCGCTAAATTTACACTGAATTAACCTGATTTCCATTGACAATTTTTTGAGTAAAGATGCCATATTCGTAGCGAATCCCATAACCATAAGCAGGATATGATAAAGTAGCAAGTGAATCCAGGAAGCAAGCTGTATAGAAGGTTATGTAGAGGTTTTAACTGTGATTAGTAAAGAATTTAACACTTTACAGTTGCTTCCTCTAGTGGAATAAGATATAAGCTAACTATTTCGCAGATTATACTACATTAGATGTTAAAGTTAGTAAATTCAAGATATTATATCCTATTACAATACAGTATGATCAAAATAAGATGTTAATACAAGTATTCACTGCTTACCAGCCAAGCGTCCAAGTCCCCCGTTACCTAAGCCGGCGTCTTCTTCCTTTTCTTCTAACTCCTCCATTTCTAGACCGAGCTAAAATGTTGTAAGCATCAACTTTAGATACAATTATATAATTATCAACCCTTATCAGATATATGCATAAATAGTAATGAAATTTTAACTTAAGTACGTCAGTTACTTACATTTAACTACAGACTATTATCTTATCACTATTTAAATCTACAGATCATTATATAATTATAAGTAATTACTTTTTATTGGTTTTACAAGTACACACTACTTTTTACAAAATAAAAATAAAAATTTAATATTATAAATCACAAAAATGAGCCTGTTGCAGAGCTATCATGATGTTAAAATGTTATTGCATATTAGAAAAGATGAAAGAAATGATATACAGTTACTACTACGTTCTGTAATAAACAGATAACACTAGTCATCGGAAAGAAATTAACTGACTTTCAACTACATTTCTCTCTACTCAATTATAATTAATTATCAATGAAAGATTGAAAGTCTTCATTACTGGAAATATCATTGCATATCATAAAGCTGACTGCTGTAGCTAAACTACATGATTAAACTAGTATATGCTAATCTTATCCTTAATAAAGATCTAAATCTTTATATTTTATTTGATTCTTGTCACGGTTTTAGAACTCTATAGACTAGGTATAAAATAAGATGAAATAAAGTATCGATCTCAATGTACTTACTATAGTGTAATATACTACATATGACACCAACCTCGTACATAGCTTCGTCACATTCCGCGTAAATTCTTGCGTTGATCATTGTATTAGTCAAGGCTCGCCCCATGTAATATTCCATGGATAAATAATAAACCCTCTGTTATGAGATAATATCATGAGCTATTGTAATATAATAATATTAATTTTAATCAAAAATTTATCACACCGGGACTTTAATTCAGTGATAGAAAAGAACCTTTCGAAACTAACCAGTATATACTGTATATATATATATATCAATTAGCATATGCAAATATCAGCTGACATTTCTACAGTATACAGTATCATTCATTTATGATATTGGTCATTTGTACATACAGTTCCTAATAGGGCCAACTATCTAAAGAGCTGCATATACTGGACAGCTGGGAAATTTTGTCAGATATGCAATGGTAGTATGGTAGTGTAATTTATTGCCTTACTGTATAGTAATAATACATGGTTTGGCTGTGCACACCATACAGTAGGCACTATACTTTTCGAAATGTAAGTACAAATTCTGTCGCTATTATCTAATACGTACAACATGAGTTTATATGTGCACGTCTAATGTGCCTACTATTAAGTTGCATTCTTAATCGTGACGCACGAAAATGGCTTAATTACTACTACTGTATTACCGTACTACAATAAATAAACAGCACGTATTAATTTAAAAATATAAACGATTGTTCAATCCAATTCAATATAATACATAGCTATTACTTGCAAATATACGACAAATAACTAAAGAATGCTGAACCGGTGTAATTGAGAAGGTAGCATAGATTTTGCGACTACTTTAGTATTGAAGATCATGATGGGTAGAAAATCTTATTTAAAGCACTTCAAACTACTACAAACGATGTCATGCTATAAACGCAATTCGATATCGCGTCAATTTTTCATAGAAGTAATAATGGTAGCAAATTATTACTAATCCAGTGCTGTAAATGAGTCATTTAGCATTAAGCTACAATTTTAAAATACGATCAATAATTAATATATTTCCTTGAGGTAGTGTGTAATAAACTATTGCAATTGCTGATTTATGCATAGTTCAAAAGGATTTTCCTTCTTTGCTAAATTAACTATTTCGTATGCCGTCCATTAGGAGAAACTGAGGTAAGCTTGCTAACACAATGTTGGCAGCATTGGCGTCATTATCAAATATCAATTGAAATTGTTATTGGTAAGGTAAAATAGGTAATTTTACGTCTCGATTTCAATTACTGTACCTTACAATCTTTTTTATAATAAGTTTGCTGTGAACGAATCCAACGACTAGCGATATATTCTCGGACGGTATGGGCTAGTGCAAAATAGAAGTCGCGACCAGTAGCATTATTACGATCTTTCAATTCAGTATAATGTAAATGACGGTTGAAAGATTTCTTGATTTCTTGAACATTCTCGAATTGTGGTATTTCTCGTACTGAGATTTGTTTACGCCTGTCAACAGAAAAAGGATTACTAGCTATTTTGGCATTCGATGACTTGTCTGCTTGCGCCATAACTTGAAATACTAGGTGTAGTAAATTCACTGAACTGACCGGGCCCAAAGATTTGCTGAAAGTCTAAATATTGAACTATTATTGTGATTTAGAGTACAGTATTTTATTTTTTTTTGGAATACTGTACACTGTACTGCAAGAACTCGGACTTCCAGTACAGTACAGTACATGCTCATGTTCAGTACAGTACAGTACTAGATTTTTATGTAATCTGCACAGTTCATCAAGGCCTTGAAAGATACGCCTCCGTACGTGACTTTAAATTAGACCTCGAATTCATATACTGTACACTGTACGTACTGTACTTTACTTTAAATTAGACCTCGAATTCATATACTGTACACTATACAGTACCGTACCGTGCAATCGTGGATAGATAGATTGGTCATGGACGTCAATTAATGTTGATTTATTGTATTGTACTGGACACTGAGTGTACAGTACATTTTACTTACAGTATTGGAAAACGTTTAGTACTGTACTCTACTAATTTCACTGCCTTTATACTGTACAATGTACTGTAGCAAAATTCCAACTCCTCCCTCTTTCAGCTGGAGTTCTGAAAAATTGTCTACTGCTGCCATTAATTATATTACGATGATTAGAATTAGAATTAGAATAATTAGAATCCCTCTTTTTGAAGTCACTTGTACCGCACTGTGGCGAAGTGCTCACAAGTACTCTAGAGATTCGCCAATTCATCGAGAATACGAGCATACGAGTACAGTATATCCCAAAAAAAAAAAACAATGAGATCATAGTTAGTCAATTGCAACATTTCATTTTGCTGAGCAAAGACCAGCTAAACTTTGAAGTTGCACTTTCCAACCACGCGCTGGCCACGCAGATCTCAGCTTTGGTGCATGCACTATAGATTGCCGGACAATACTACTGTACATTAAGGATAATAATACTGTAATACTCATGAACAACATATGTTGACGAAGTTGGATTGGGTCACACGCTTGTAAATTATTAAAACGATTGTATCTAAAACAATTTTACTGAAATTTAGAATAATTATACTAATGTCAATTCACTTCGCAATGACCACTCCTACAGTAGTAAAATTTTCCAACATTGCAGTCAGCAGAACATGTGATTGAACTTTTACTGAAGCATCAAGCAAGCATGCGCTACTTTCAGTAGTTCACGAGACATAAACGTCGACGTCGTACAGAACTAGTGCAGTAATCGCCTCCTAATAACTCCTAGCTTTTACTCTCGACGAACAGCTGTATAGTGTACAGTACAGTATGTTGTATTCGGTGTCACAGGTACTCCATTAATCCATGGGGCTACTAAAAAACGGCATTTTTTTAGTAGTCCGTGATCAATCGAAACACTTTTACTATTAATTAGATAGCTGCAGTATTCTTACTATGTCTTACAGTAATGTACAGTACACTTGGACAGCTTACCGTCAGGCTATGATCATAATCACTATAAAGCCAATTAAAAGATTATGACCATAACCAAATTACTTACATATATGATACTTCAGCCTAGATTATAATTATATAATTACATTAGAATATAATGCTATAAACTTTATTTATTTACTGGGAAATATAAAAGTAAACGAAGGTATCATTACTAATTAATCTAGGCTAACCTTACTTGTGAACGTAAACTAGATACAGTAATCAATTCTCTGATTACAAAAATAACGTCAAATAAATCTCAAATCATTTCTAACTTACAACATTATTAATGCTACTCGGATGCATAGGTGGATAATAAATTTAATATACCCCACAATGCGGATAAACTACTTACACATTCATGTGCATAAAAATTTAAAATTAGGAGCTCAATATAAGAATTCTTGGCTCTACTTTAAGCATGCCTAAAGCGATGGACAGTAACTTACAAGTTGAAGTAATTAACTAATCAAATATGCAAGCTGACGATAAGCTTACACAATTAAATTGTTAATTGTTTCGAAAAGTAGTAATTATAGAGATTAACCTTTGTGTATTACTATTGCTTAAACAGAGGTTATAGTTTCTTGGTTATAATCACCTCAATAGGTCCACTAACTAAATGATTAAATGTAAGTAGCATAAAATGACTGTAAAGAGATTTACTTTATTGCAACTCCACATACGTAATTATTCTTGCTCTTATTTTACTTTGAAATACTTGCAAAATAGGAAAAAAATATTATACAACAGCCTGACGCGAATAATTCACCATTTTTTGCTATAAATTAAAAACAACAGTTGGTATCATTTCTAATATATCAATAATATATTATCATACACAATGCTGCATTTAATAAAACGACATCTAGATATTATCCATTTCAAGATGATGGGGAGCAATAATCCTACTCTTCTTTGACTTTAGTGCAACTCCTGAACTTGGTGATGCAACAACTACGGGCCTATAACCATTCTCAGGGCGAAATTCGACAACTTTCAAGTTCGTCCTATCCGAAAGTTGCTGAAAGGTTTCCTGTAATTTTGATTTAAAAGTGAGTTTCAGTAACTTCATTCAGACACTGATGGGAATCGGTCAATGAATGATACAGTATCATATCGATCAATTAAGTCAAACTTAGTACACTTTACCTGACATTGTAAAGCTTTAAAAGCCGCATGGATGATATTGCCAGGATTTGTCGAACCAATTACTTTCGCTCTTAAATCGGCTATACCCGCTAATTCACAAATTGAAGTAATTGCCCTATGACACCGTAACCCTTCACCTGTAATTTGAAATAATTAAGTCATATCAATACTACACTGACGAATCCTTAATATATCATGAAGAAATTCGTGTTTACCTTTTGATCGCTTTTCCATTTTAACATGCGTCTTCTTATACTTTGTTTTAATATCATGAAAAACTAGCAGTGAGGTAAAATGTTTAAATTTAATTTTAACGCCAGCAACAGAGCGTAAGAAACTGCAGGATATGAAGCAGCAATAGGTGATAATTAGTTAATAACTTACTTGTATGTCCGTCACATCTATCGACGTGACATAAATAATTTACAGCCCTGTTCTTAGCCTACACATGTATTGGATATTTATCATATATTAATTAAGCTTTCGAAATAGTTCTATATATACTGAAATTGCTTAAGCAAATTAGGCACTAAAAATATTTATCTATTAATTAATACTGTAATATAAAGTATTCATCAATCAATTCTAGAATGCAACCTTTCTGAGAGCAGTTCTAACATCCTGTCCTTTACCGAAAGCATAGCCTAGAGGAAAGTAACGAATGGATAAAACTTTTTCAATATAAGAAATAGTTTTAAATATAGGAGGTAAACTAATAATTTCTGCTTTAGTCAAGTTCACGCATCATTTCTATTAATTACACACCAATTGCTCCATTTTTATTGCCAACAATTACTAATGCTCTCATTCTAGATCGTTTTCCCCCAGACGTCTGATTTGTAACTCTCCTCAGCTAGATAAACAGTAAACAGACAATTAAAAAGTTGCTATAATCCAGAGTTAATATTGTAATAGTCCAATTATATTTAAGGGCCATGATATTGAAATCCCTATACCTCGATGCACGTCGAATAAAATTCATCCAAAATAGCTAATAATAATTAAAATCATCCAAAATAAATGATTTAATATACCAAAATAGATACAGAAATAACACTTTACGTGTATGGATTAAAAATTTTACTTCCGTCTGGTGCTGCAGGCGAGCCAAGACTGCGACCGCCCCACCCGAAACCTGTCCATCCTCTACCCAAATCCTTCTTTAGCGTCGACCTATAATTATCTACTCTAGGACTGAACGATGGCTGATCTTCCTGGTGTTCCTCAGTAGATGAGAGACTCGTACGTTTTCCCAATTTAGTACTTTCTAAAGGAGCATTATAGCCCGGCCATTTAAACTTATCCACTGCAGCATTGAAATCAACCGCCTTCTTCTTAACTCTTGTACCACGTCGTCCACGACCTCCTGTTGCTGCTTTTCTTAAAATATTAAATTCATCTAAAAAATTAAATTATATAGTTATTTGGGTGACTATTATTACACGTAAGGGATAAATATTTCTCAAGGTCAAGAAATGAGAAATGTAAGTAAGTACCTTGATAAAGTACTCAAATCCTATATAATATGCTTACAATACAATTAATGTCTAACATCTACAGTATACGCGTTAAACATTAAAATATTGCTTCCTATCATCCACCGTTGACCACTATAGCACTGTAAACTCACATGCAAGTAGCGTACAAGAAAATCCTTAAGTAGTCGGAACAATTTTACTTGATCTTCTATAACTAAGCTACAAATTTACTGTATAGGTACTAAAATCACATTACAGTAAGCGTACGATTATAAGTATCTAAATTTGTATCAACGGAAAAAAACATGAATAAAATCCTACTGAATTATTAATCTTTAGCCTTTCTAAACCAGTAGAATACCCTACAATTGGGTTCGCTACTGAGCACTGAGCTATTTTGAGATAGAGTATATTACCAGGGTACCTAAAAAAGTGCACAATACGTATGTCGTACGGTTGTGCCAGCACTACTATACAGACAGGCATCCATATACTCTACGACAAATATACATTCAAAAATATTCCTACAACACACATTACTACGTGATCTACTGTACTAAGCTTTTCCTGTTGTATACTTACGTCTCGTCAAGGCTGTCGTATAATTTCGCTGATCAAGCGGAGTGTAGAGACAATTTAGGCTTGCAACACGATAGATATTTTCACATTTTGCAATGGAACCACGGACATTGCTCACAATTGCAGATACTTTATAACAAATTGATGTAAAACGAAGTCCGGTTAGCATTACTTGCAAATACTGTCGATTTTAGGTCGTAGTAATAACCCTCAATTAGATATCCACGAAGCAATATTGCAAGTACACGACAACTGGCAATGAGTTTTCCAACACTGGTCCTAACACAAGACTTTGTACCAAACCTTTGCTTTGTGCTTACTGTGCTGCATGTAGTAGATCAACATTACTATGCGTTTGTACCGTACTTTCTGTACTGTACTCTAGGACGCAGGTGCGGTTTGCAGGCTGATCTTAATCTTTCTGCAACGAATGTTTCAGCATACTGTACACTGTACAGTAGTACAGTACAGTACAGTACAGTACAGTACGCGTACAGTACCGTACAGTACAGAGTCTCTACTGTACAGTGTACAGTACTGTAAACGAAAAGTGTTCCGATTTAGAAATCATTTTCCAGTTCCAAATCCTCCTTGGAGTCGTGAACATCAGTATTCTACACTCTCAACGTTCAACAGCTGTTTCTCGCCTTTATTACAAACCCTGGTTTTAGAAAAGAGTTTAAATCCTTATTAGTTTTGGGCGATATGCTGATCTATTTTGATGACGATTTATCAACTGCGACAGGTTGACAATTCAGTCCAGACTGCATAGTAACCGTAACTGCTGCTACATTGCCCAGCTAAAATCCCTAGATCTAATCAAAAACTACTATAGCAACGAATCCTGCGAATTGAATACATTGATATTTAATGATTACATACTGTATAGTTTTAAAAAATTTAAATTGGGCAGCTCAAACAAAGTGAAGATATACGGTGCTACACAGTTACTGTAGTCAGAGAGCCTTGGAGGGATTTACGCACTCTACTGTACACGGTACCTCAAATTGCACAACATATTCAGATAAAATAAATTGATTACAAGGTCCTGTGAAAGACTCTTATGATACTTGTGTTCGCGCAATACATAAACTGAAACTTTAATCATTACATGATCATACAAAGGTATGGCATAATGCACTTGAAATTGATTCTAGTTATTTGTAATTTCATAAATTTCTTATAATTCTAGAATTCTGAAAATCCTATACTTCTACCACTATTACTGTACTGTACATGACGTAAAAGTATACAGAACAGATAGGATTAGAATACACTACCCACGATAATTGCAGTATAATTTCTGCTATAACCTAGCATACAATACGTATTCGAGTATACAGTAAGCCATGGACTACTAAGAAAGACCTTTTTTAGTTCCATGAGTAAGCCCATCGAAATTTGTGCATACTTGCGAAGATATAATTTGATTATATCTCAAACTTAAGCAAAGTAAATCAATAATTCAATTCTAGATGGCAAACTGGCAAAGAATTAAGACTCAGCTTCGTCGGAATAAGTTTATGATGTATGGTCTACCGATGTTTGTAAGTAGTTCATTATAAAGCGTTTACGGCATTTAGAATTTGCAAAGTTTAAAATATACCAGTCATTTCACTATTTGGTCGCTACAAACGACCTACGGCTGTCATTACTAGGTTACGAAAGCTTGTAAACTTTAATGTCATAGCAATCATATCTACAAATTTAACTAAATTTACAACTGTTTACACAGATTTTAGTCATAGCAGGTTCATTCGGCTTAAAGGAATTTACAGAACTGAAGTATAATATCAGAGATGAAAAGATCCGAACTGTACGTAGATAAAATGACTGACTAATATTGTAAACTTTATAAACAATTTTAATAAATGTACAATGTACATATATGCGTATCTTAAACGTTACTTCATTTAACAACTACTTATGATATAACACTTTAATTTTCTAGTTACTACAAAATTATAAAAAATTACTGTTATTATGCTGTTATAGTCATGACTTTATGAATTAATACTTACTGTTGCATGTATGAAATGCAGTTAACGGCAGAAGAAAAGCTTGCATTACACCAAAAAGGCAAAAAAAAGACTCTAGAAGAAGTGTACGAGGCAAGCCTAATACGTACAGTTAATCAAATGCCACAATACTACTTGTAGCTTTGCTAATAGTAATATACACTTTCGTAACTTTGGCAATCATCTTTACCTTATTTAAAGAATAATTCTTACTCGCTCTATTCTTTTACTTGTGTAGAATACTATGAAAGAATTAGACATTGAACACTGGGTGAATAAACGAGGCCCACGTCCTTGGGAATCAAAAGCAGATAGAACTGACTCCTAAAACGAGAAATCTAGAAAAAATCATTTATACCATATTTTAGCCTTCTTATACAAATACACTTACATTCAATACAACATAAGCTTATTAATTTTCATAGATTTATTATTACAACTATTTTATTAAATACTATTATACATAGCATTAATTACGTATAACGTCATACCGTTTGCCCTCACAGATACGTAAACTAACTAAGCAAAATCATTCTTACAATTATATATGTTATATATACGATGCGAATCCCTATTTCATTAATTGTTATTGCAATTATTGCAATAGTCGGCACTACTGTTGGAAAATATTTGCATGATGAACAAATTAAAGTTGTTTAAATACATAGAAACGAGTTCCTAATTACTATGATATAAAATATATGTTCTACTAGCATATAATACAAGACTCATGAAGATATAACTTAATTACGCAGTAGAACTGCAGTTCCTGTGTAGTTCTCTATTAATTTTAATTCATTCCATTTCATACTAAACTATAGAGTCTCTAACAATAGGTAAAACGACATTGTATTCATATTAATGCTTACTCCATGAAAGTTCAAGATCACCGTACCGTATTCAGACCTCGACCACAGGATGGTCCAAAATTTAGTAACAAATGCCTTATACATGCTATAGGTGTGATTAATTTTTATTATTCGACCCCAATTACATAATTTTGATTTAGGAATGGATTCAATATTATCACTACATCAATAGTTTGGATGGATAGTAAAGCATGATCGACTTAATATTGCATAACCATAGTAATAATATATAAATTTATACGGTATGCTACGCTATCAAGCGATTAAAAAAGCTATGGGCTACATCATTTCAGTATAACTGCAAATATCATAATCAAGATTATAATATACACTTACTACAACATAATACTGATATAACTCGAAATGTAGTAAATAGTATCACCGTGATATTCTTTACATAAATTGTGTCATAAATGTAGGCAATTTCCATTTACTTACACGAAGTGACTACATTGATAATGCTAAAAGTTTACATCTGATATAGTGACAATATGTTAATTGTTTAAATGTTTCGTAAATGTATCATGATATAATTTAAAATCGGAGACCGTACTGTTTTAATATACGCGTAAATATCTGTCTTTATCATCTTTACAATAGCTACGATCGTATTTATCAAGTATAGCATAGTAGCAGTTATTTTAATCATTCTTATAATATCTATTGCACAAATCCTTGTGCTTTATGTTAGCTAAAGAGACACCATATATTAAATGCTAAAAGTTCTTATCGACCATAGAGTAATAGAATTGAAGTAGCTTATAGATACTGCGAAGTAACTTTTGATGCATGTATAATAGCTAATCTATTGCAGAAGTTAAATATACAATAAATCATAAAGAAGCAAAAAATTGAATTTTTAATCAATTTCGGTTAAAATTCGGTACTGAATAAGTAATAAAGTTTCAAGATCACTTCTACATTAGTACCAAACCGTAAAACTAGATGGTTTCTAAATATTTTTTATCTAATGTCATTTCATAATAAAGAAGTTGATGAAGAAGATGTGATACTTGATTCGCTTTTTAAATCTTCGGAGGTATGATGTAACGCAGTAGATAATGCTCCAATGTAGTTAATTGCTAATCGTAAAGTTGTAATTTTATCCAAGCGGCCATCAGGTGTCGGATAATACGGTACAACTTTCCTTAATTCATCAAAAGCTAAATTCATTAATTTCATGCGCTTCCTTTCGCGACAATTTGCTTTACGCCGGCGATATCGAGATAATTTTCGCGGTTCTGGTAATCCAGTTTCACTATCCCCAGCAGTATTTGCGTCTAACTGAGATAAAATCATTTCTCGTGTTGTTGTTGATCTTTTCCGAAAATTATAAGATCCTCCGCTAGGTGACTGAGGTGTCTTAATTCTTCTACCTTGACCAGTTTTACTCGATTCGTGGTTATTGCTTAGTTGGTTTTTATTTCTATCAATCAAATTAGATGATGCGTCCACAGAAGGGGCCATTGTCGTTATATTAGTATTCTTTGCTGTTGCTAGTGCAGTTTTTCTTCCTTTAGAAGCTTTTATCATATTTGAAAGAAATAAAATAATGTTATCCTTGTTATAAACCAAGCCAAAATTAGTTAATTTTCTAAGCAACTAATCTGATTGGTATTTTAAAGCGAAAAATGCTTGCTTAAAGAATTATTACGCTATCACGATAAAAGAAATAATGTAATACGAAATATCAGAATTATTAAATGTAGTAGATCTTGCGCTAAATGAAAATGGTGAGTAAAGGATAGACTAAACGATAAGAGATGAACAATTAAGCGATATGATGGCTTGTTTTCCCTTCAACCCTTCAATATATAAATATCCGGTCGTGACAATCGGTAAGAACTGATTACAAAATTAATGTAGTATTCCTTAAAATAATTTATTTGCCTGGCGTATGGTTTGATTGTATTTTATGATAATGCACGAGAAGTTGATTGAATATCATTATAAAGGTTAAAACATATACAGATATGTCGCTTTCCTACAGTACTAAATCCTTTGAAAACAAAAATTGTGCCTGTAAGGAATAAATTTATATCATAAAGAACAGATGGAACCAGAGGGAAATAAATCTAAAATTTATTTACTGTCAATTGTTATCAATTTTTTTGTTATGTGCTGTGGCATGATGTTATTAATACTACCGTTAGAAATGGATTAATCATCATATTTCTAAATTGTAACTATTAGTATTAGTACTTGATGGAGTGATTAAATTTTTAAGATTGAAAAAAAACAATAGTTACAACAATAACGGTAGCATCGATTATACGATAATTTAATGTAAATATTAAAGCTATAGTAGTTATATACTGTAGTAATTGCACTATCGATGAATTCGTGATAACAATACTCCTAATGTGAATAAATACCATATTGAAATGTATACGTAGGATGAGTATCAATGCCGCGATTAGTTGCATTTAATACCTTTATAGTAACGATAGCCACGATACCCTGTTAAGGCCCTCGAGTTAGCATATAAAGATATTCATCATTAATAATTACTGTTCATGTATCACTGCTAGACAATATACCTTATATGTCGGATATTATCCACTCAGCACTATTGTACTATTAGCATGCTAAATGTTATTAATATGCAGATTACATGCAAATAAATCCGCACAGTCTATTTCAGAGACAGATAGATAGACATATCTGAATGGAGGTGTTACTTACTGTAATGCTATGGAAAAGGAAAACATATTCAAAAAGTTGAACAATGCTAATTATAAATTAATAGCAACAACAATCTACTGGGTAACTTCAAATCATATACAGTTACTAACAAATCAAATAGCATATTAATTTTTAGATTGAAAATGAATCATTCATTATTCAATCGATCTCTCTGTAACGGAAGAAACACTATCATTTCATTTCCAATATTCAGGGCGATACGAGTATATCAAAAATAATTAAAACTGTACTGTATAGTATTCGGCTGTAAGTTCGTAACAGATACAGTATTATGCCTTTTGCTATGATAGATTGTGCATAGTAGCCATCAGTTAATCTATTTATTTTAATAATATCTATATTTATGATTGTACAGGAAATAGTGAAATTTCTAACTCTACAAGAGATAGTTGCGTTAAATCATAATGAACTATCGATCAATACGAATGCATTAATTTACTAAAGCAATCATGATGTATTACAAAACCTAAACTTAACAGGAAAACACTTTGATTATAATTATCAAATACCACTGCATACAATGACATCAAATATTAAAATAGAATATCGTAACGTATTCAAAAATAATAAGTAAAGGAATACTATTTAATTATCTAACCTTGTGTTGAGGCGAAGTTTAATATAGATTAAATTTTATAAAATTGATACCAAGGCTAGCTTTGCATAAATTGATAAAGACTATTCCAGAAATAGTGAAGAATCAATAGACCAGTATTTTAAAACTTACTGCGATGATACTAACTATTTTTGATTGCAATCCGTAATCAAATGCAATAGTTTTTTAACTGACGTTATAATGATTCGATTTGTGGTTCGTTACAGCTTTTAATAGAGTCTAAACAAGAATAGTTAGCGATTATTGACATTGTCTTCTATTATTATCTCTATTGTCATTTTTAACTGAGGTAAAGCCATTATTTTCCATTGAGTGCATTGAGTCAGCTATTTTATTTTTGGTCGTAGACAACCATTACATAATAGACAGGCACTTGACATGTAATGAGTTAAAATATGAATATTTCAAAAACGTGTGTTACATTTCTCATCTGTTTTTACCGTTTCGCTACAACTGGCATTACGCTATTCATTTGAAACTATTGTTATGAATTAACTAGTAAGAGTATTAATCTTGTTGTTAAAATCATGGTAGAATACATTACGAGAATGGTAACAGTTAAAACCAAAAAGATGACGAGATGGCAATCTTCTTATAGTTGAAAAAATAGAATTATTTGTGAAATGAATCTTTCACATAATTACTGATTACAGAAAGTGTAAGATTTGATCATAATTAAAACTATAGCATGATGTATGATTACAAGGTATACGAAACCGAAATTGAATCAAGAAAATATTTAAAAATTTGAAATAAGAATGAACGATATTCAAACAAAAATAAGAAATATGTCTTCCTTCCTTTATACAATATATCACTATATGACAGTCTATATCTTTGTTGACTGTAATATCATATGGAAAAATAGCTACAGTTAATTAATTACCCTTTTAAGTGCTTAAATATTATATAAAAAAGTAACTTATGTCCATAGAGTAATTGTTTTCTATCCTCTATTTGTCGTCACATATATCATTATTATTGTTGCCATCAATAATAACTGGGTAGCAGGTACCAGATATAATAACATTAACCTAATATATAGCTAAGTAACCAGCATCATTTTAATATTATTTTTCTACCAGTATATCATGTCTAAGATAGACCACATTAAATTAATTCGTCACTTTACCTTAATTTATTCTATTTTTGTTAATGACTGACCTTTGTTATCGTAGTGAGAGGTCCTTTAATGACTAGATTACATTCTTAATAACAATTCCATTGTTAAGCTGAGATTTGTTGTAGACTGTTGAATATAGGATTGATCATTTCTGTATTCATTCCTGATAGCAACATGCCTAGAAGGGACTTAATCAAATACATCCCATTTTTATTCATCTAATACGAACCTATTCAAAAGTATTCAACTTGAATAGCATCACGTTAATCATTAAATGTCAGAAATTATGACAAGACTAATCATAATAAGACCTTGCGGGTAGGAGAAAAGTTGACAAGTTGATTCAACATAAAGACAATAATGACAAGGGCACGTTTTATTTTACTACTTTCTTCCTGCTTCCTTGCGTCATCTAAATTGAACTTGATTTCATACAATGAAAGTAGAAGAGTGAAAAATCCTCACTTATTAAAACCGTATAAGTAAATCTAGTCGAAAAATTCGGAAATACAATTCTAATTAAAAGGGTGGAAGTTACTCTTAATTTTAACACTTGCTTTATGATCGGCATCGATATAATAAAATTTTTTTTAACATACAAATAGAAGCTATTAACGAATATAATTTGTTGCATTAAATATGGTATTATCATAATAGTAATTGCCTACTTGGGTAGATCTACGGTATCTCTTTCTTTCTACATGGTGTTATTTATATTAGTTTACTATCACTTTAGATTTGTTCGGAATGAAGGCTGATTGTAAACGCTCACGCGATGTGCAAAACTATTCTTCTTTGCTAACTTTGTATTAAATCATTTAAATTTTATCAGTATAAATCAGATTAGTAATAGCAACAACTAGAAATAGTATTAACAAGATAAAGATAAACCTTATTGAGTACAGAAGATAATCGCCTATTATAAATAAAAGCAATGAAAACTGAATCACCAATACTGCAGCAAAAGGAGAGCCTTATCTTATTAGATACCCAATAAATTTTGACTAAAAATGTCACTTCGATCAAATAAATCCTTATGACCCATTAAATTAGTATGCATCTGCTAAGTTAGAAAATGGGTAGTCACATCCAGATTATTTCATTACTTGCACATTAATTGGATTGACATGCAAGTGTGAATTTGAATTATAAATATTATATTGATTATATTATTGCTTTTACTTAGTTACGCCTGTGTTTATATTTGTTGTATACTATTAGCCTGATTCAAAGTTTTATTTTCCTATTCGCTATATCGAACTTAGTAAATATACGTACATCTAATGACTTAAAAAGATAGTCCAACACTGAATCACTTCTACAGTATATACTGGAATGGCGCAAACATTGGAAGACGAATATAGATATTCAACTGATTATTAATTCTTTTCCAAACTAACCCAATTTGAAAAATTTATTAGTCCGAATTGCTTGTAATTATTGATTCCTGTTAATCGGTTAGAGTGGTCTGATTTTATTTGTATACATTAGCCACAAGACGCAGATTAATGGCGTGCAACATAGCATTCTTTTTACTGCCATCAACACACGACCAGCACGCTAACCACTCAATTAAAATGCTACCGTTATCTATTGTTTCCTATTGTGATAACTGACCTTAACTGTGAGCACATATTTCTAACTTCAATAATAGATGCTGTTATAAATAAAAGTAAACTTAATATCATCACCCGAATTCATTGGTCTGCCAATGCGATCAATGATATTGTCCGGAATGTATTTGTTTGACTCTCATACGCAACTATACTAGTGTAATGTAACTTAGTATTGTGATTGTAGACTGTTAGCCATGTGTAGTATAATGTACGGTAGATATTTATCCTAAGAGATATTTGGTAGCTGTAACTATAGACTGTAGTGGTAGAGACTCTATGCTAGAGTACAGATGACTATATACAGTAAGCTGTTGAGTTACTAATATGGCTATAGGTAAAAATAGAACTGTAAATCATATATTAGGATATGGTTAATTCATTGTACTTTGGCTGGTGTGAATAATGTCTACGTAAGTACTGTAGTCTTATCCATATTGAATTAATGATGGTCCGCAGTAGAATAGTCTTACTA